GTACACTATATCCAGCTGAGATTGGAATTGTTATAAATTAGAATGCAAACAGAATCAACTGAGATAAAAAAGAGAGCTAATTATAAATCAATTGGATGCTAGTTGTTCTATAGCGCTGTGATGCTATACTACTCCGTGGTAATAGCCTTGCCAGAGTCTGTCACGTCATTGCTCTTAATAGTTAATACAACATAACTAGAGTCGTCTACATATTCAGGGGTCCACGGGTAGACCGGAACATCCAGCTGGTTTCAAATGTTTCAAGGTTGTACAAGGATAGTATGCGATCCCTAATATCTAAGGGAGATACTATTTGTGATAGTAATAAGCACTTGGCCAGTCTTACTATGTGGCATACGCGTCCTGCAGGAACATTATGAGGGGATACACGATTGCCTGCCGTGGTAGCTCAGCGCATCTATACATCCGACCTTGAGCTTTCCTTATGTCTTGATCCGGTTCTGTTTATATTAGCTATAAAATAGTATATTATTTGTAGGCCATCCTCAACATAGGCTTGTTTCATACTAACAAACTAGGGCTATGTGGTGCCAAGCCTACATTGCCAATTGCGTCGGAAAAAAAAAGAAACGAGCATCGGTGAATATCTTAAGTCAAGATCGTAAGAGATCAAAGATTAGAAGAACCTCTGCTAAAGTCCATAAACACTTTACACGTGTACCCACAAAAAAGACCACTTTCAGGGACTTGACACGGACTGTCAGGGACAGACACCTTTTCTCCGCCAAGACCCCAGACAAACCTCCAACCGCCCCGGCTTCCATTCTTGTCTTTCCCCATTCCCACCCCTTCCCCTCCCCTCGTTCCTTACTCGTTAAGGGTTCTCTTGCGAGGTTTAACCCCCTGCGCCAAGAACCTGTCTGTGTGTGCTGGATGAAGTCCCGGCTCCACCTTCTCCAATGCACAGACGCTCGTCGGGCTCCCCTGTCGAGGACGAAGATTCCTCGGTCTCCCGAACAGACGATGGAAACGCCATCGACGAGAAAACCCGATCTCAGATAGCTCAGCGCGGCACCAGCTTCGACCTTCGCCGCGAGGGCAGCGCGACACCGCGCTCCCGGAACTCGAGTATGTGGCGCACCCCGTCCTTCCAACCCTCCAACGATACCAAATCGATGCCATTGGGCTCCCCGCGACTTCCGATGGAAGTCCCCCCTTCCGGCGGCCGCCGTGCGCGACAATCTCGCCAACGCAATCCATGGTCTTGCTCCATCCTGACGGCCTTCACCACTTGCGCTGCTGTTGCGATCTTAGTCTGCATTGTCAGCTCGTTCACCGGTCGGCAACATGGCGGAGACGGTTGCGGTGTTCCGATGATGAGCCCGACGTTCATTCGTATGTTGGAGTTTGACACGGAACATACCCGCTTTGCAAGCAAATACAATCTCTTCGTTTATCGGGAGGAAGGCGTGGATCCTTACACCCAGGATAACATCGGGGTACGGCGTCCCGGACTCGGTGCATGCGCTTGGATTCTTACTGACTGTGTGTTTAGTTGAATGGTGTGCCAGTTCTGTTTCTGCCCGGGAACGCTGGAAGTTACCGCCAAGTCCGATCTCTGGCCGCCGAGGCCTCGCGACATTACTACGATGTGGTCCGACACGACGAGAGCCGCCATGCGGCCGGAACGCGGAGCTTGGACTTTTTCATGGTGGACTTCAACGAGGATATGGCGGCGTTCCATGGACAAACACTGTTGGATCAAGCGGAATACGTGAACGAGGCGATCTCATACATCCTGTCACTTTACCATGATCCGCGACGCACCCGCCGGGATCCAGGGTTACCGGATCCCAGCGCAGTAATCCTTGTTGGACACTCTATGGGCGGAATAGTGGCTCGAACTGCTCTGACCATGGCGAATTATCAAGCCAATTCGGTCAATACGATCATCACCATGTCTGCACCTCATGCGAAACCACCTGTTTCCTTCGATTCCGATATCGTCCACACATATAAACAAATCAACGACTATTGGCGCGACGCCTATGCGCAGACATGGGCCAACAATAACCCACTCTGGCATGTCACTCTCATCTCCATCGCGGGTGGTGCGCGTGACACCGTGGTGCCCTCCGACTACGCCAGTATCTCCTCTCTTGTTCCCGAGACACACGGATTTACTGTATTCACCTCTTCTATTCCGGATGTCTGGATTGGCATGGATCATCTGTCGATTACTTGGTGCGACCAGTTCCGCAAGACCATCATTAAATCCTTGTTTGAGATCGTCGACGCCCGACGCCCTACTCAAACGAAACCACGGGCAGAACGGATGCGTGTGCTCAAGCGGTGGTACTTGACGGGTCTGGAGCCAGTGGCTGAGCGTACACTGCCCCAGAAGGAAGCAAATACACTTCTGACACTTGAGGATAACGCAAACACGATTCTTGCGCAGGGCCAGCGGCTGATTCTGCGTGAACTGGGCCTACAGCATGGCCCGGATGTTCGTCTTTTACCGATTCCTCCGCAGGGCATCTCTGGTAAAAAGTTCACCCTGCTCACGGACCAATCGCTTGATAAGAATGGCAATATTGAGGTCCTGTTCTGCAGCGTGTTCCCGCTATCCAGTGGCCGTTCAACCAACTTCCCCTTGAATTTAGATTTCTCCGGTGGCACTGTGGGATCAACCCGTTTGGCCTGCAAGAGCGCGGCTGAGGACAGTATTCATTTGCCTGCCTCGACCCGCTCATCTAAACATGCTTACGATCGTACCCCACCGTTTTCGTATCTCCAATACGACTTGGAGGCGCTCGCAGAACATCAGTTTGTGGCTGTCGTAGACAAAGCCAATATACCAACTTCAGGCTTCCTTATCGCCGAGTTTTCGGACAGCTCGGATGCAATGATTCGGGCTAAGGTTGGATTGGGAGGACTGCTCAGTGCTGGCCTGAAGATGCGGCTACCCGCCAACCGACCCATGCTCATGGAGGTTAAGATCCCCGCATTGTATTCGAGTCTGCTCGACTACCGGTTGAAGATCACTCGCCATCCTCAAAAGGAGGAGCTGTTCGCTCCCTTGCTCCGTCAATCCGTCTCTGACCCTCATGAGTCGAAGTTTTTCGTCAATGTCAATGAGGTCAATGTGAACCTGCACGGGGTGGCGCCGTACATGCCGCCTGCAATTAGTGAGCAGGCCGCTCTCGGGGGCGTATCATTTCACCTGTGGACGGATCCAACCTCTGACTCGACGGTCGACATCTCCCTCCAAGTTGATCTCACCAGCAGTCTTGGTGAGCTAGTGATGCGGTATCGGACCATATTCGCGGCTTTCCCACTGCTCGTCGTTGCCCTCGTTCTCCGGAAGCAGTTCCAGGTCTACGATGAGTCTGGTTACTTTATTCCCTTCACCGAAGGCCTTGATCGTGCGTTGCGGTCTTCCTTCCCGCTCCTGCTGGTAGCTATGTCTCTGCTGGCCACCTCCCTGGCTACGTCCAAAGCCCTGCCTCAGACCGACGAACCCCTCCATTGGCGGTCCAACTCGACCGAGACTCCCATCGACTTCACCAAGAATGATCTCTTGCTTGGCTCACAAGACGCTTTCTTCTGGTTCTTAGTCCCGGTATTCGGCCTCATTAGCGTTGGTGTCTGTGTCCTTGTTAACTATCTCGCCCTCGCCCTCGTGAACATCTTCTCCTGGGGTTATGGGGTCTTGCACAGCAAGTCAGGCTACATCCGGCGAGAGGACCGGGGAAACCTGCCTATCTTCCACACCCCCACTCCTCGACGACGCATCATCCACACCGTCATCCTTTTGATCCTTGTCTCGACTGTCATCCCCTACCAGTTTGCCTATATGGTCGCCTGCATTGTGCAGCTAGCCACATGTGTGCGGGCACAATGGCACGCCAAGGAAACCAGATCTACCTCGCACCTGAACTTCGACAACTACGCACACTCGATCTTAATCTTGATGTTGTGGATTCTACCAATTAACGTGCTGGTCCTCCTGGTCTGGGCCCACAATCTCGTCGTGCACTGGTTTATGCCGTTCTCATCCCACCACAACGTTTTATCTATTATGCCCTTCCTCCTTCTCGTCGAGACCATGACCAGCGGCGCTATGATACCGCGCATCACGACCAGGTATGTAGACTCCAGAGTGTTACATCTCACAATTTCCAACTAACATATCCATCTCCGTCCCAGGTTCAGACACGTCACCTCAATGATCTTCTTCGCCATCGCCATCTACTCGGCAATTTATGGCGTCTCATATGCGTATCTTCTCCACCACCTCGCCAATCTCCTCGCAGCCTGGCTCGTCGGGATTTACCTATTCGGCAACAACTTCTCACCGCGCCGTCTGTGGCGTATCATCGATGGTGACGAGCTCCCACCTGAAACGGGGAGCAGCCACGTTAAGAAGAAGCCATGAAAGCTAATCACGTCTGTTGTTCTTGTTCCGCTTGTTTGATTTGCCTTTTGGCACGGAGTTGCGCCGCGCATATGGGTCTGGAGTTACGAGCGTTTTCACCTTTTGTACAGACATCGGGGTTGTCTTTCCCAGCGATTTTACGTATCGATGTCCCCATCTTTTCCTGCCTTTTACCCCACTCCTTCAACCTCTCCACCTCTTCCCACGACACCTAATCCACGAGGCCATGTTTCTCCTAGTGAGAATCACCAGGACCTTGTGATACTACTCGACCCCCGCAACCCGGACCTCAGATTCCGTTCTCTGGTCTGGCAGCTGCTATGACGACGTCTTGTATATATCCTGGTGTGCTTTTCTTTTCTTTCTGCTTCGTTTTATTGTTCGATCACTGGACATAGATTTGCGGGTTCGAGGATGGACTGATTCTGTTTTGACGGTTCTGGGCGTGTTGGCGGTTCTGTGTCTTTTTGTTCTTTTATAGAATTGTGCATTCCCACATACTAATTACTGTACCACTTCACATTTTTCTCCGTAGACTTACTGCCAATATTCAAGTGTCTATACATGCCAACACTCAATAATATTGAAGGATATGTACAACATGTACGCAGCGAAGGGGGCTCTTGGAGTACCTATGCACGTCGTACAAGCCCGGCTAGCCTCTCCAATACATGTTGGCCTAGCTTACCTCTGCCTCATGCAGCATGTCTGTCTCGTCTTCACGTACGACGCTTCGTCGAGGGCATCGTGGGACGAAATGGTCGCCGCCTGCGGGAGGATGCGCAGCCGCTGCGAAGACGGGGTCCTCCCCTTTCTTGCGATAATGATCGCCGCCATGGGTGAAGGTGAAGCCCCAGTGTTGCACGCGGAAGCTGAAGCGTTTGCAACCCAGCGGGACTATCGCTTTGTCAAGTTCTCGCCCGCAACTGGGCGCGGCATTTGCGATACGGTCAGCTCGCTAGTTGAGCTGGTGCACGGTGCTCGTGATAAGTATTCTATAGATCAGGAGGGTTATACCCAGAGGTACAAGAGGGCGGAGGCATTGCAGACATTATCTCCCACCTAGTTCAGTACCGCCTTCCAGAATGAATACTACTTAGAATTCTACCATATTTCTGCCATGTATTCTGCCCACTTCTGGTTTACATCTAGAATATGAGGACCTGTGGGATTGACGCCGAAAATGGCCGCTTTTGGGGCCAGAAACAGCTTCCTCTATTATATAGATGGTCCCAGGATATTGATGTGCTACGGACGATTGCCTTTTAAGGTTAAGAGTAATGACTACTAGAATTTAGTAGTGGGGAAGTTCAGCATCCCAGGGCAGTTTGGCCGAGTGGTCTAAGGCGATTGAGTACGTTAAATCCAACGACCAAATCAAGCCGCAGTTGCTAACCTTACTAGCTCGGTAAGTTCCGCTAAATAGCTCTGACCTAAGGTCTTTCACTAACCACCAATTTAGAAATCAATTCTCTTCGGAGGCGTGTGTTCGAATCACACAGCTGTCGTTCTACATCTTTTTTTTTTTGTCCTTGGATAACGTAATTTCTAAGCGAGCCGCCCACCCAAAACACATAGTAAATGCGATATTTTATAACTTCAAATTATAGCAGCCATGTTATTGTTTACTTCCATAGTCATTTAATAGGTATCGATAAGGCTTCTCAACGCTTTTCCTAGGTATTGATCCCAAGAAAATTGAAAGGCTATATAGTTGTGATATTACGATGCTCAGCTGGAAATAAATATCTCAACCATTGAGGCAAGCATTTTGTATTTATTCTCAATTCGGTTAGTTTAGCTTCAGAGTGACGCTAGTCCTAAACTGCAAACTGGTAATGCATGGAAAGAATAACAAATACAGGAACGGTATGTTGATCATGAAATGCGCATCAAAAGAGACTTGATTTGTTAATGCGATGAAAAGCGAAAATGGCAGCAGGACATGGCGCGCACAAAGAAAACGCTGAGTAACTATGGAACCGGCCTCTCGAGTCTGCGAGATGGTAGATCCATGCACCTTGGCTGGTCCGTTCTCTGCCGAGTGGCTAGATATTGGTTGCCAGGGCACTAACTAGGCCTAGGGATAAAAGAATCAAAATATCCAAGAGCGTTAGTGGTGGAGGATGCCAGCGTACGATACAGTAAATAAGCAAATATAGTCACGTGGCCTTATCTTTTATTTGAAATTTAATTAATTAGGGTGGGTCTATATGTTGTACCTGATTTCTACTTTTCGTCCACCCCTGAGCCTACCTGACTTCTGCACCCAGCGTATGTATGATCAATTACATGTGGTCGCATATGATACTAATGGTGATCCGTAAAAGCAGACAAAGATCTCTGTTCTATAGAACACACTCTAGTCTATTGGTCTCACTGGCACCATTCAAAAGTTGTGTGGCTGCAGATACCGCATCTGATAACCCCGCTCGACTGCTAATACTCATGGACTGGCTACGAAGAATATTTACGGGCAAGAGTGCAGACGAGATCGCCGCAAGAAATAGGAGGAAACGTCAAAGCAAAACCCACAGTCAACGAGTACGAGCGCGCGAAAAGGAATTAAGGCTGGCCCAAAATGGCGGTGGTGCGAAAAGCGCACGTCTATTCTGGGGCCCTCAGTGGGAAACATATAGCAATGAAAAACGGGGCAAACGACCTAAAGAGTTGCCTACTAGTGGACTTATGAGGACGAGCCACTGATCCGCAGATTCTACGCATATCATTACTGTACAACATCATTGCATTTGCTATGTCCAGGAATATCAAAATTGACGGGCTCCTTGATTATCTCGAAATATATTGTTCAACGTATTGGTGCCTCTACAAATATAACGGGGGCGTCTTAGGGCTTTAGTTGATTTGGAGGAGTTGTTTTGCGACTTGGGCCGGTGGGCGGGGGACGGTGATCTGGCAAGAAGCACGTAATGCGTGCGTGAACTTCTGCAGTCTACATAGGTAACCGTTTTAAATTGAGGCTGCAGCCTCAGGCTTCATACTAGCCAGAGGCGGTTAGCGTTTCTCTTCACGTTTGCTCAGAGTGACGTTTAGCTCAAGTATTGGCAATCGGCTGAGAACACTCTTGTAAGAGCGGGGTGAAGACAAATAAGCCAATAACATCTAATAAACACCATCCTTCCTTTTGCTGCTTAAAGGTGGTGATTAGTTAAATTATATTAATTGGACAAATTCAACATACAGTATGATTTCCTCGAACAAAGAAAACATTCACTAAGAACTTATTTCACGTTTTTAAAGGACAAGGACTGTAAACACTAACACTGCTGTCAACAGCTGTTGACTTCCTATTTACTTAACGTTTATCGAGTTCGTCGTGTGCAATGGTCAACGCATATCTAGGATCAACTAATCCACCCGAGTTCCACGATGACATTTCTTGAAGGGCATCCATTTCCTCCCTCTACTATAGCGAGAGCTCAAACACATTGAATCGACCCCTAACGCCATCGAAAATGAGCTTCTCAATTCTTCAACGCCGCCGCACTTAAATGCGTTTGCCTGTCTTATTCTGGTCTAAACCCAGCTAGCTGTTTTTTGTTTAACTTACGATATGCTGAGCTAGGGAGCTATATTTAATCATTGCTCCTAGGATCATGCTCACGGCCTCTGGGAGCTTAATGTCCTCCAGGAACTATACCTGTCACTCCTGGGAGCGAGACAGATCGCTCCTGGGCTCTCTACCTTGGATCCTGGAGCCACGCCCGTCCGTTCACGGGGCCATATAGTTCTGGTCACGCTTCCTAGGATGCACATGGTTCGTTGTCAGAGATATACATGAAGCATACAGGACGGATGGAGATATGATCTGCGCGGGACCCACATGGTGTATATGGGTTCTCCTGAACGTGAGGAAGCTACCTTTCTTTTGCTTCCTTGCGCTACGTCTTGTATCTAGAGTCCAACTATACAGTAGCTTTCATTGATATTGATTACTCATCGGAATACGCTGTCCTCATCTACGGATACGTGAGAACATTCGTGCGGGGGAACTCTACAGGGGCAAGATGATTCAAGAACCACTATAGTTCCCAGGCACGCTCTTAGTCGCTTCTAGGAGTCAAATAATAGGTCTCTGACAATAAATCATTTTAACCTGCGCGAGGACCACCTGCGCTCCATTCCGAGCCCTCGGGCGAGACCGGAGAACTTGACCTTATTATCCTTCTCTCCTTTGCTTCCCTCGACATTTTTCCTACAGTACGGGCAGATCCTGGGAGCTTCGTCAAACTTGGTTTGATAGGTAAACGCAACCTTCGGCTTCATCTCATTTAGAGAATTTGTGGTATCTGGTCATGGTACAGTAGAGAACAAGGCAGACATAGTATGAGCTGGAGAACTAGGTGTCCAAACATGGTTAGCGTATCTCTTATTCTCGCCGAGAGTGCCACTAGACCCAAATAGGCAAAACATTGTCCGTGGTCCCTCTGAGATATGAGAGTGCCTCGGGAAGATCATGGTTACGGCAGTCGTTGCGAGATATACATCACACCATATCCGTAGCTTTGCTTGGTTTACATCCAGATTTGTATGCTGTGTTTTACGGAATGTCTTGACGCAGTATATCAAGGGAGCCATCCCATACCTTATGTACGCACTTAATTGCCAAAAGAAACCACAGTTTCTGAACTACTGTGGTAGGGACCAGAACTTTTGTGACGAAACCAGAAAATAAGATAAGACGCTTCAATTTCGTGTATTGCAGGAAGCACAGCGGAACCCCTCATATAAATACTCTGTGCCTTTTATCCTCACATTAAAATCCTTCAAACAATGCCGACAGCGACGGCTAGAGTTTATCTTTTGAACTAGCCCCTGAAAAATGTCAGATTCGTTGGGCCGTTTCACCATTCCCGTGCTGACTAATCTCGCAATAACCAAGGACCCAAGATATCCAAAAGAATCCAAAGTATGAACTATCTCTGGGTCTTTGATAAGGTCGAAGATATGCCTCGAGAAGATGTCGGCAATAACTTCACAAAGAGTTGTTTCATGTGACGGTACTGATGTCATGACCTTTTTGATCACTTCGGGGAACACTGGAGAGCCGCAGCTTGTATTCGCCCATCGAGAGAACTTCGAGGTAGCCAGAGTCTTCAATGGAATAATTCCGTATTTATCAGCTGCGATAAATACTTCAATATTGTTGAAAGCAGATTGGTTTTCTGGCTCTGTACTTTCTGGCTCAGTATTTTCTGGCTTGTTTTCTGAAACATATGAATCAGATTCTTTGTTGGCAAGTTCTGTAATGGGTCGGTATTGAAGTATGTGTCCATCCTCACTGTAGTCCCTAAGATAGAGAAAGGACAGGACACGCTCAATGGTCTCTGGGTTGTCATCCAGGATATTGATAGCTTTCTCGGTGGATTCCTAGAAGAATGAGCGGCTAAAAACACCTGTTTATGGTTTATTTCTCAGTCGTACCTTGAAGCCGTCACACATCGCACTATTGAAATAGCTTGACTGGGTACAAACAATAGCTTGGTGAACTTCGAAAGTAATTCCTTGACAAAGAATCTTCATATCGGAGAATTGACCTCGCAGAAGTAAGTTTCGCATTACGTCCTGGAGTTCGGACATGGTTGATATGGATAGTGCCTTTTCAACTGATATTTGATCTCACATAAAAAGAAAAGGCTTTCGACGGAAATGTTGCGTGAAGCTTGCGTCCAACATGGGTTTTATGAGGGCAAAATGATATATATGAATGAAGACAGATCAAGCCATGGTGTATGACATCAGAACAGGACCATTAAGCATGACTATGACCCGTAGATTTTTCACCGGACAAGTCAACTGATCTAGGTAGGGAAATTGACTCCTGCATAGGCTAAATGTCTCCACTCGACCCGATCTTCGGGCGTTTTATTGTGATATCTCGAAATTCTGGGCCAGGCTAGACTGACTGCCCTTCGCGCTATATCATACATGATTGGTTCGCTGCCATACTTTTCTTCACATTAGAGCTGCATCTGTCTGGCGGTTAGATGCTGCATGTGACCCATCATGCGTGTTGCACAGCAGAATGATACTTCATCGCTCCTTCAGCGCATCTTATCCCTAAGACCCTATATTTACATCCGCGGTTAGGCTACCACTAGGGCGCTGAAATAACGCCCCTAGAGAGCTACTGGCTCCAGAGAACGGTGTGAACCCAGTTGAGACAAATGTGCCCGGTGCGAAGGACTATTGATGCAGACGAGTGATTACGCTAGCTCTGATATGGAGACAACTTTCTTCCAGTGGCAGCGCACCACTTTGTTTCACCTATGGGAGCAGTTGCCACTCAGGGCATATTTCAGGGCTGGGTTCGATGAAATGTCTCGGAGCAAATAGAACATACTTTTGACTGTATACTGTACTGCCATCCATCCTATTTGCCTTTCAATCCGCTGCCCTCCGCCAAAAGTCATTGTCATTGTCGATATCATAGTCATCAACATCGTAGTCATCACTGTATAGATAATCATCATCTCCGAAATCTCCCCAGGACCTTCCATCCCACTCTTCTTCTACCACACGGATTACCCATCCGTGACTCTCCATCTCATTTCTTGAAAAATCACTTATACCCTCCTTATAAACCTCGACAATAATTTTTTATAGAGATGATATTGTTCTGAAGAGAGCATCAATTTCCGCTAAGGCCTCGACAACAATTTTAGGGCCTCCATTCTCCCCACTCTGGGGAAGATAATGATGGTTCATTCTCTAGGTATGGTAGTCTATCTATTCTGCCGGTTGGGTTATTCTGCTAAAGTTAGCCGACTACTTATTCACCGCATTATTTCTATGATTTTGGACCCATAGGAGAAAACACCTGGTCACGTGACATACACACGAGGTTATGATTTAATTGCTTCGCTTCGCTCCGCAACCATACAAGTCGTTAGGTTAAGGCTGTGCTTTTTACAGTTGCGATACCATAATAAATTACACAAGCTGATTAAAATTTGCGGCCAGCGGGAGACATACCCGAAGTAGTTTAGCGGGGAGTGTGTCGCAAGTAAAAGAGTCGAGAGCGAGACTAGTTGGACGGAGTGAAGACGGTGCGATGAATGTGGAGTCGATGAAGGTACTGCCCAGCGTGAGGATGACCGACCTCCGATAGGTTACCCCTTTATTTCTGCTTCATCAAACTGATAGGCCCGTCATCTTAGCCCAGCCCCTAGGACTATATATCAGAGAGAAAGGGAAGGGTCTAAGCGCTACGCCACAAAAAGGGGCTTGGATACATCACCAAGCATGGGTAAAAAGGGGCTGTGAGAGAAAGAGGAAAGAATAAAACGTACAAGAAACAGAAGTAAATAGATCAGAAATGAAAGGATCAGATCTTCGAATGCAACAAGATCACAATTGCACTACGGAGTACGGAGTACAACCTCCTTACACGGCATCTACCCCGGATTCAATGGTGGATACCCAGGACTAAATGCATGTCTAGCATAACTGAGCTAACTCGTTATAAAGGGGTTAGACTAAGTAAGATTGAAGATTCGCCTCCGTTCCCCATCAAATAAACATCTGGGGCACCGGGTACAGATGCCATGACGGATCCACTCTCTAAAGATCAAAACGACATGTCTAGATCAGCAGATGACACCTGCCACTAGTTACTCTATTTCTATGATATTGTACAACATAGAACAGCCATATGTCGAGGCATACGGTGTAGATGTGATGACCTCGCCTCGACATAGGCGAAGTGCCAGGTGGCGAGGGAACGCCACGTTCAGACAAAAACGAAACGGAAAAGAAAGGAGTGCAAACCTGCGAATTTGGGTCCCTTTCAGATGCAACCTTTGTTCGGGTTCAGAAAAAAAAGTATTCCTCGCTTATGATTCGCTCGCGCGGAAATCTCGGATTCCTACGGAGTGGCCATGCTAGACAATATAGAGACTGATTTTTTTTCAATGAGCATTGTTGAAAGTAAGAAACCTGTTAGGGTTCCAGGTCCACCGGATCCGACTGAGCCGATTTCCTTTTTTTGGCTTTTGGCTTTGGCTTGGGTTTGGGTTTCTTTGTTTTGCCACCTGGATTCTTTCGCGGGGGATAAGGATATGGGATACGATAATGCCAGGGGGTCTCAACAGTTTATTTGTTCTAGATGCTTACTTACGTCTGATGTTATTATTAGTACGGAGTAGTGTGATGTACAACGTACGAGGGCTTGGAGGGCTTTTTGTATAAAACATGCGATAAGCGATAAGAGAAAATCAAGCGGTGAAAGAAATCTCAGACATCCCGTGGTTGATATTCGCGTTTAATTGGACGTTCATGCAAAGAGAATATATTGTACGAATTGTCACTTTCAGGTGGTTGTGAAGGCTGTTGGATTTTATTTGTATGGGCTTACCACGATGATTATTATTTTTGGCTGAAACATACTCAGCTCTCTGACCTACATGTCGACTAGTACATACTCCGTATGTAGTCTCGGATCGGATAGGTACATATGTATTCAGTGGTAAGCATCCACAATTGACACGGAGGTACCAAGTCCGGATGTGGGCGATTACAGGAACATCAAACCAATGAAATAGAATAACGTTCAACACCCTAGCAACTCCGAAAATATGTAGTCCCTGGGAAAACTCGGGGTTCTTCATTTGGCGTTTATATAGTACTGCGCCACTTGTCGTGCATGGCGAACGACGACTCGCGCGCCTTGCTGGTTACGATGTACTTTATATATTGTACAACGAGGATAGAAGTGTTGGTACCATAGGGACTAGACTGTTCCCGGATATGCATATGAGATATGCGGGACTCGAGGTGAGAGCCAGAGCAGTCCTGATGGGTGTTTCTTCACATTATATCCAGATAGAGAGTATCCGTACAGTAGATCCAACTCCGTATAGGCTCTTTACAACATAACTACAACATAGACATCAATAATATTGAAACGAATAAAAAATAAAATAAAAGCCACAGCTAAACCAAATCCAGCCAGGCAACGGGTTCAACCAATCATGGACAGGCGATTCGGACCAAAGCAGGGCTTCGACCAATAATAGTGCAGCAATGAATCAGCTAATCCTCATTCGGCCCTAGCGCGGAACATGAGCCTGAAAATTCAAAAAAAATCTGAATTCCATTTTCATAGGGTTTTGCCGCCCAGGTTATGCCACACGATAAATATCCTCACCCCCCTTCCCTTCTCCCCCTCCTCTCCTCCACTCCTGCATCTTTTTTTCGAGGGTCGGCCTCTTTCTTTTTTTTGTTTTTCTACTCTGCATAGACAGAATAGAAAAAAGTCTCGCTCCAATCTTTGAGCGCTCGCGTCTGAAAAGTTGACGCTGTTGAGTCTTTTGCTCAAAAAAAAAATTCTACGATACCCCTCATAGAAAAAAAAGAAAGGATTTTTCTTTCTTTACTCTAATACCCTTTTCTCTTCTCCAACCGCCAAAATTTCTTCCAAAATGCCCGCCGCCTCCGACGCCTCTCCTGCCGCCACTGGCAAGGCGTCCGCCCAGTCGGTCGCTGTCCTCGAGGACCTCATCAAGAACCTCAACCTTTCCACCAGCGCCGACGAGACCAACGCCGCTGCTACCAACCTTGCCACTCTCTTCAGCGGTCCTATCGCCGAGCAGACTCTTCCTCTGAAGGCCACCGAGATCTTCAAGAAGCAGCTCGCCAACAAGAAGGATGCTACTGCCCGTGAGCGTGCCTGCGAGGGTATCCGTGCTATTGCCGCCCACCCCACAATCGCTCCCGGTGTTGAGCCCCACCTCGTGGCTCTCCTCGGCCCCGTCCTCGCCGCTGTTGGTGACAAGGTTGTCGCCGTCAAGCAGGCCGCCCAGTCCACCGCTATCGCCATTGTCCAGGCTGTCAGCGGTAACGCCGTCAAGGCTGTTATCACCCCTATCCTCTACTCCCTCGCCAACGCCCAGAAGTGGCCCGAAAAGATGGCTGCTCTCGATTGCATCAACATCCTCGTTGAGTCTGCCCAGATGCAGCTTGGCTACCAGGTTCCTACTCTGATCCCCGTCATCTCCGAGGCTATGTGGGACACCAAGGCCGAGATCAAGAAGGCTGCCTACTCCACCATGGAGAAGGTTTGCGGTCTGATCGTCAACAAGGATATTGAGCGTTTCATTCCCGAGCTGATCAAGTGTATCGCCAAGCCCGAGAACGTCGCCGAGACCGTTCACTTGCTCGGTGCCACTACTTTCGTCACTGATGTCACTGGCCCTACCCTCGCTATCATGGTCCCCCTGCTTGACCGTGGTCTCGTCGAGCGTGAGACCGCCATCAAGCGTAAGACCGCTGTCATTGTCGACAACATGTGTAAGCTCGTGGAGGACCCCCAGCTTGTCGCTCCCTTCTTGCCTAAGATGTTGCCCGGTTTGAACAAGAACTTCGAGACTCTTGCCGACCCCGAGGCCCGTGAGAAGACTCGCCAGGCTCTTGACACCCTTTCCCGTGTTGGTAACGTTGTGGACGGCAAGATTCCCGAGGTTTCCCGCGCTGGTGACATTTCCACCATCGTTGCCATCCTCAAGGAGATCCTCGAGGCTAAGCACAAGGACGTCATTGCCCATTCCGAGGAGGCCATCACCTACGTTGCTGCCATCGCCGCTCAGCTTGTTGACGAGAAGGAGAACGACCACGTCATCTGGACCCAGAACACCATGCCTTACATCACTGCCATCGTTGGTGAGGAGAATGCTAAGTCCATCGCTGAGGAGCTCCGCAAGAAGGCTTGCCCCGATGCCGCCGCTGCTGATGCCATCGCCTCCGATGAGGAGGAAGGTGTCGATCTTTGCAACTGCACTTTCTCCCTGGCTTACGGTGCCAAGATTCTGCTTAATCAGACTCACCTGCGCCTGAAGCGTGGCCAGCGTTACGGTCTCCTCGGCCCCAACGGTTCCGGAAAGACCACCCTCATGCGTGCCATCAACAACGAGCAGCTCGAGGGTTTCCCCAAGAAGGATGAGGTCAAGACCGTCTACGTCGAGCACGATCTCGACTCTGCCGATACTGAGCAGACCGTCATTGCCTGGACCCAGAAGAAGCTTGCTGAGGTTGGACAGAACCCTCCCCGTGAGGAGCTCGAGGGCAAGCTGCTCAACGACTTCGGTTTCTCCGAGTTCCAGATTCAGGGTCCTATTACTGCCCTCTCTGGTGGTTGGAAGATGAAGCTCGCTCTCTGCCGTGCTGTCTTCGAGAACCCCGATATTCTCTTGCTTGACGAGCCTACCAACCACTTGGACGTCAAGAACGTCGCATGGCTCGAGGAGTACCTGAAGAACTCCCCCTGCACTTCTATCATGGTTTCTCACGACTCCAAGTTCCTCGACAACGTCATCCAGCACGTCGTTCACTACGAGCGCTTCAAGCTCCGCCGTTACCGTGGTACCCTCTCCGAGTTCGTCAAGCAGCACCCCGCTGCTCGGTCCTACTACGAGCTCGGTGCCTCCGAGATGGAGTTCAAGTTCCCCGAGCCCGGTTTCCTTGAGGGTGTCAAGACCAAGTCCAAGGCCATTTGCCGTGTTAGCAACATGTCCTTCCAGTACCCCGGTACCCCCAAGCCCCAGATTCACGGAATTACCTTCCAGGTCTCCCTTGGTTCCCGTATTGCCGTCATCGGTGCCAACGGTGCTGGCAAGTCTACTCTCGTTAACGTCCTGACTGGTGAACTCATTCCCACCTCCGGTGAGGTCTACCAGCACGAGAACATCCGTATTGCCTACATTAAGCAGCACGCTTTCGCTCACATCGATAACCACCTCAACTCCACTCCTTCCGAGTACATCCAGTGGCGTTTCCAGACCGGTGAGGACCGCGAGACTATGGACCGTGCCAACAAGATCGTCACCGAGGAGGATGAGAAGGCCATGGACAAGATCTACAAGATTGAAGGCACCCTCCGCCGTGTCATCGGTATCCACTCTCGTCGCAAGTTCAAGAACACCTACGAGTACGAGATCTCTTGGTCTCTGGGTGACAACGTCGGCATGAAGTCCGAGAAGTGGACTCCTCTCATGTCCGCTGACAACACCTGGTTGCCTCGCTCCGAGATTATTGTCTCTCACCCCAAGCAGGTCGCTGAGGTTGATCAGAAGGAGGCCCTCGCCTCCGGTCAGTTCCGTCCCCTTGTCCGCAAGGAGATTGAGCAGCACTGCGCCAACTTCGGTCTCGATGCCGAGCTTGTTTCTCACTCTCGCATGCGCGGTCTCTCCGGTGGCCAGCGTGTTAAGGTCGTTCTCGCCGCTTGCTCGTGGCAGCGTCCTCACCTTATCGTCCTTGACGAGCCCACTAACTACCTCGACCGTGACTCCCTCGGTGCCCTCTCCAAGGCTATCAAGTCTTTCGAGGGTGGTGTTGTTATCATTACTCACTCCCGTGAGTTCACTGAGCACCTGACTGAGGAAGTCTGGGCCGTCAACGACGGTGTCATGACCCCCTCCGGACACAACTGGGTCCAGGGTCAGGGCTCTGGCCCCCGTCTCGACGCCAAGGGTGACGATGATGAGGACAAGTTCGATGCCATGGGCAACAAGATCGTTGTTACAAAGAAGGTCAAGCTTACTGGTAAGTTATCCAATCATTACTTCCTTATGCATCACAATGTTCAAATTCTAATTGTTCTCTTACAGGCTCTGAGCTTCGCAAGAAGAAGAAGGATCGTGCTGCCCGCCGCAAGCGTGGTGAGGAGGTGTTCTCCGATGAGGATGACCTTTGAACGCCCACTTGGGGTGTTTATTGATGCACATTATGATCGTTTGATGAATTTCATATGCTTTGCTAGGACAAAATTCAATTCTCTGTTCAAACATTCGTTATTATCTCAAGACTGTTATCTCAAGACTGCTGTAGACCTGTAAACCTATATGTGCTGGGCCAAGTAACTGCAAAATGATGCACGTTCCCCAATAATACCCTAATGTTCAGCAAATTTTGTACTTGTTGGCTTGCCATTGTCCTTCGGAGTTGACTTGGTTTTACTTCATTCCTCATGGCATTACATTCGGCTTCTTCTTGTTCAGTCTGATACTGTATCCGCACAATTTTTATCAACTTTCTATTGCAAGTTCCATCCAACTACAGATTTTACTTCTACTTATGATACTACCATGGCTATGATCTTCCTCTGTTTCTTCGTTTTGAAATCATGAAACAAGTGCCTGACTCCATCAAGAGCCATTCCCGAAAGACCGTCTGAATCGGAATCATCTTCGTAAAGTTTCTATTTTCAATTATGTAGTATGCACCGGCTCCTCGGTCTGTCTCGGCATGCCGCCCGTCCCTAGTCCTAAGCCGAGTTCTTGTATGACCCCGAAAGCTTGGGCCGAAATTTATCTCGAGACAAGTGTAAAATATGTAAGTGATAAGAGCTCACAGATATACCAGTATCAACTTGGAATAATGTGACGGGTGCTGCTCTGGGACTTTGTACAGTTGGAGAGTTGGAGCTCTTCGGCATATAGTCACGTAACTCTCGGGCATTGTGCGACTGTTTAGAACAATTTCGCTTGTTAAACGTGTTCGTTCCTCTAATGGTTTACAAGGCACCACATGTTATTCCAATCAAGCATCGACTGGCCCGACCTTCACATCAACTCTTCTTTGCAGCTCAGCCATATCATCTACTTGCCGCAGCTTTTTCCGCTTCTGAACCTCCAAGTCCTTGAAGCGTTTCTTGCCTCCATGCTTCAGCTTTGTAATCATATCAGCGGCTTGGCCGCGAGTCAAGTCCTCGGGCTTCACATTGCCATCTCGAATGCGAGCTGCGTTCAGCATTTTTAGTTGTCCCGGTGTTGCCTGGGCCCGTCGCCAAGGTTTCCAAGATGCGATGTAATGCTCATCAAACTTGGTACTGGCAAAGGTATCCGCTGCCCGGACAATGCTTTCTAAGTCAGAGCCAGTGGCGATCTTCCGAGGACGTGTGAATTGCGGTGCGTCCGTTGCCGGGTTTTTGAATTTCATGACATGATGAGCCATGAACATATCGTCGTCCCCTTTCTCAATCGTTACCCAGCCAGATATATCGGTAAGCATATATCGGTCATCGCCGACCCGGACCCAGTTGTGCGGGCTGAAAGACCTGATGTGTCGTTCGGACTGCATGTCTCCTAGGAGATCGTATATACTGTCATAAGTCGTGAACTGAAGTTTTAGGTCATTGTCCGAGCCGTCGTATGGTTCCTCGGCCTCGGGGGTGGGTTCCGATTGAGTGCCCTTATCATCATTCTTCTTCATGTCTTCCATGCTGGCGTTGTCCAAGACTTCGTCTGGGTCCAAGCCGAACAACGTCGGTGTTGATAGCACTCCAGTTGCTAGTGAAGCTACCATGTCGATAACATGGCAGTCCTTTTTTCCGGGAAACAGCCGAAGACCACGTCCGATCATTTGGACGAGCAGGTTTCGAGATCTGGTGGGTCGAGCTAGGAGCACGCAGTCGATATTTGGGATATCCGTGCCTTCTGTGAAAAGACCACAGTTTAGCAACACTGGAAATTCTTGGTCCTTAAAAGCCTGTAGCTGTTTTGCACGGACGACTTTAGATGTACTAGCTGTGATATACCTAGCATCGACGCCATGGTCGCGAAAAGCGGCGGTAAGCTGCCGCGCGTGCTCGACATCGACACAAAATACAAGAGTGGACTTCCGATTCTCAGCACTCGCCATCCATGCCCGAACTGTGATGTTGTTCGTAGACGTAGTGTTAACCGCCTCCGAAAGCGATCCGAGGGCAAAGTCTCCGAAACTATCTTTCTTGACTTTGGACAAATTGGCCCCGGACTTGACAGTTGTGAAGACTGCATTGGCCAGCCAATTTTCACCAATCATGTCAATGTAGTCCTTGTGATAGACAATATGATCAATGGCAGCACCCAATTTGAGCCCATCGAACCGTGAAAAAGTAGCGGAAACACCCACCAAGACCGGTCCATTGGCAGATGGCTCGTTTAACCCAAAATGCCCCAGGGCATCGCGGTATGTTTTAGCAACAATGTGATGAGCCTCATCCACCAACACGAGCTTGAATGCACTCGGGTCGAACTTGTACATGCGTCCCCGGGCTAGCGTTTGAACCGACGCGATGATGATATCTCCTGCTCCCGTCGCAACATTCTTGCCCATTTCTATTTCGACGGTCTTGTCTGGGTAGGCGAGTCGGCAGTGTTTCGCAGCTTGTTCGACGAGTTCGCGCCGATGAACGATGATCATGGTCTTGGTGGCTTTCGCATCGCGAGGAGGGATTCGGCTGATAAGCTGTGTGAATATGACCTGCAAAGATCAGTACCATTTTGGATAGAGAGCAAGTTCAACCTACTGTTTTGCCAGCTCCTGTGGCAAGCGAAATCCCCAGGCGTCGATGGCCTTCACCCAAATATTTCAGGACGGACTGAATGCTTTCCTCTTGGTAGTCGCGGAGCACAATGCTTGGAGGAATTGGGGACTCGGTCGAATTGAAGCGTACATGGCGCAAATAATTTTGTAACAGAGGACTCTTCACCAAGTATCTTCTTGGATGCCTCAATCGCGAGACACAGCGTATGAACTCCATGCAGATGTTGCAAATGCCCTTTTGTTCTCCGGCGAAGCTCAAACACAAAAACAAACAGTGCAAACAATCTTATCGATAACGTTGCGTAAATACAATCTTGGCAAAGGTTAAATACATTCAGAAAATCATGTGACTGTCGGTACGGGGCATACCATACAAAAGTGTGCATACCACCCCTGACTGTGAATGATATACTCGAGGCATTGTCTTAGATGCTTTAGGTGCTCTAGATTAATCATTTCCCATACTTGCTGCGTATTTTGTACGGCGGTGTAGACTGTATAGGAAGGCGGTATATGGGTGGGGGTGTTAAAACTTATGAACAGTCACTGTATATTACAATTTGTCATCATGTCCGTTCAAATTTGTTACCATACATTGTAATTCTCAACTTTTTTTCAGTTGATTCTATAGCTCTTCGATGAATTGACGTGGCAGATTTCGTTAAGGGTGTAGCTGTGATGTTTTGCTATCGATCGTTCCGCATGTGCTGCAAATCTGCGAGCCTGAACGATGAGCGACTCTGCTTCCGCCTATGAGCCCGACGACGACGCCCAGTCCGAGTCCGACTTCGAGCCTGAGTCTGACTTCGAACCAGAGCCTCAGTCCGACTTTGAGCAACACTGCTCGTCCAATGAACGCTCTTCAACTCCAAATCAAATACCGAACGGATATGATTACAACCGCGACCCGTCATTCGATGGGGTCAGACGACAAATCGGCGATGCGCTTATGGCACGCGTCCCGCAGATGCGTGGACCTCTCACATTTCTCCGAGCCTACTCCCACCTTATGGTGCAAAACGATGAGGTTATTGACTATACCTCGTTGAGAGAACTCGAGAGCACCTACGAAGTCAGTCAACATGGCTCGATGGTCTGGACGCCCACTGAGAAGGAAGTGTTCTTCAATGCATTGGACCGAAAGGGCAAAGGCGGTATCAAAGAGATTGCTGCTGCAATCGGCACCAAGTCGGAACTCGAGGTCATGGAATACATCCGACTTTTGCATAAGGCTTTGGAGGCCCAGTATAGTTCCGACGTGCACCTGGAGGTTATGCCTGTCTTGAGCGATATCCCAGCGGCCACAGAGGTCAGCCCGGAATGCTGCGGACTATTGGAGGAATATGCGGATGTTCTATCATTGAAAGAGTCCCTCCTTGAAGCTCAAGCGGGAACAAACCAACACGGAGATAACTGGATTATCACTGGAGCTCATGCAGAGAGTCTGACAGACGAGGAGGACGACAGTGCTCGAGGTGATCTCCGCCTCGCAGCTGATTTGCTGAACCTTCCATATTGGATTCGGCTTTCTTCCGCCTTGTTCATGAACTTCGGTGGCAAGCAAGTTGAGAACAACTGGTGGAACCTTGCCAACAGAAAAGACCTAATCACATCATATGGACATACCCCTTCTATGACTGCAGATACTGCCGTGGACTTCTACTCTCTCACTGTCAGTGCCACGCGCCGCTTGGTCCAATCATCACTCTTCTTTGCAATGTCAAGATTGCGCAGTTCAAGTCGCAGTGGGAATGATAGAAAGGGGTATGTTCGAACGCAAGATGTCCGGGCCGCCATTGATGTGCTCCATATGAAGCAATGCAGGCCTAAATTCGTGGACATCGCTCGTCGCAATGAAACCGTCCTAGAAGACATCAACAACCGGAAAGGCTGGGTGCCTACGGTATTCACCTACGAAGAAGCCGAGGAGATCATCGAAACACACGAGTGGACCCGGTACCGTAAAGATGGAACCGTGTATAATGACGACAATGAAGAGGACAGTGAAGACGACGACATCATTGACGATGACATCGAAGTGGACGACGATGTCGGAATGGATGATGAGATCGAAATGGCAGTCAACCCGCAAGAGGCAGAACCTGAGGCAACGCCGGAACCAGAAACTGGAGAGCCCGAACTTGAATACGAACCAGATTCGGAACTAGATTCAGAACTAGACGACCTTGACAACTACCCTTTGCCTACGCACGAGTCCTCCGAAACACCAGCGCCGGTTGTATTGCCAGACGAACAGGAAATAGACCCAGAAGAAGAGCAAGCAGAACTCGCAGACCAGAACATCGGCCGTCGCGAAGAGGCCAATCTTCTGAAGTTGATGGAGCAACCCGTGCCGTTCGACCTCGACGAACCTATGAAGGAAGAAGAAGTCGAGGAAGACACTAAGCTACTGCCAGAACGCAGAATTCGAGAAGATGTCTTTAATTGGCGGGATCGGACCGTCTACCGTAGCGAGTGGGAGGAGTACGGATACGATTTCGCCGATCTGAAGGAAGACATGGAAATGCCTCCGCTGAAAAGGCCCAGATACAACGAACCGGCAGTTGCTATCTCCGCTCCGGTTCTTTCGGGCGACGATGCAATAGTTGAGAGTGGGGACGATGAGGATGAATCCGAGCAAGGAGAAGACCCGGCCAACTAGAGTCCTGGTTGCAATACCAGAAGATAGAGTTCGGTCAACCAGCCTTCTCAAATGGGCGATGAGAGGCATTAAACTCTACTTTGAGCAAGATTACAAGCTTCCCATCAAGGACATATGATTAAAGAGTAAACACATTGATGAAAAAAGATCCCCAACCCCTAGTTCAACCCCCTAAGAACAATCCACTTTCTGGAGAGAGGGAGAATCAACAGAAAAGAACTCCAGCAGATAACAAAGAAAAAAACAAAAAGTGCGCCTTTTCCAAGCCAGAAAGTTCAGAATATTCATAACTCAGCGAGACGAAAAACAGTCCCCTTAGGTTCCTCTCTCAGAAGATCCATGGGGGATTATCGTACATGTATTGAGGAAGCCTACAGGTCAAGGGTCTTGTAGTCAGCACCACCTTGGGCGCTTAGAGGCTGGGTTCCAGCCCGCATATCTCCGCCAACAGGCTGGAAGCTGTAGTGGTGTCCAATACCTGTAGTAGCAGCATCAGCTAGCATCTGATGCGTGTGTTCGTTGGGGCCCTGCAGGCTGACAGTCTGGAGCGCATCCTGGGCCTCCTTAACACGCTTCTTGAATGTCATCCGGTCCAAGAAGAGTTGCTGACGCGCCTGCTCCAACTCACGACGCTCAGCCTCGATAATCTCTTCCATCTCATTGAATTGCTGCAGCTTGATCTCAAACTTCTGCAAGGTGACGTTGACTGCAGCAGAGACTAGGCGGGTCATTTCGCGCTCCTCGTGCGAGGCAAGAGCTCCGGCACGCGCGGCAGATGCGGCCAGGGCGATGGTGCCGAGAGTCTCCTTAGGCTTCGCGGAAACTTGCTGCTCGGCCTCACGTGCGGGATCCACGTCCATAGAATCTTCGGACTTGACTGCATCTTTGCCCTTGTCATGCCCTTTCTCCAGCTGGCTCCGGAGCTCCTTGCGGATCTCGTCGACGGACCGACCGGCGGCGGCGGCAGCTACTGCGGGCTCCACCATCTGGGCCAGGAAAGCCACAACAGAAAGAACAGGGTTTTCTGACTGGCTGATGGGGTCACGTCCGCTGCCCGACTGCGGCTCTGGGACATCTTCAACGTATTTGTCCTCGATCTCCAGCTGTAGGAACTTCATGACACACTCTTCCCGAGATCGTGTGCCAACGTGGCTCGCGATCTGTTCCCAGTTTTCATCGAAGTTTTCCAGGCCTTCCAGCAGCAAAATCACCTCTGAGTCTGACCACGGAGTGTTTTTGTCAGTGAAGTGAGAGTAGGTCTTGTCCTCGAGCTTAACGAAGTCCGAGGCATTGTGGCTAGAAGGCATTCGCGCCTGAAGGAAACAGTTGGGACACAGATCATACTTGGTGTCTGGCGTAGCGGCGTTGGCTGATGTCGAAGCCGATTTAGCGTAGTGGAATCGAAGTTTAGTGCAATCAATACCGCAAGAGAAGCAGTGTGCCTTCTTCTTGGATTCCCGAGCAACGTCCAAGCCGTTTGTTGCTTCGCCGTTGATCTGTTTCTCTTTATCTTCAGCGGAGGTGATATCTTTGCCTTTTTCATCGTAAATGGTGCGGCGTAGTTCGAGGTTGAGGTCGTCTTTGGATGCAGGGATGGAAGAGACAGCACGCTGTGTGCCTGGATGAAATTTGCCGGACGTGACGCTGTGGTTTGGCCCAGGCTGGAATGGCTGCAGACCCCGTGGAGTATCTGCGATAACTCGGAAGTGACCGGTGAATGGCGGGCCAATATTGGACGGCCGTGTCTGAGGGTCAACCTGCAGAGGTGTTAGATAAGATGCTTGAATGGGAAAAACACGGTCATTCACCTGGTAGTTGATCAAGCCCCACTGCTCAAGGAATGAGTGAACACGCATAATAGCACAGACGTCACCGGCAAGGTTGCGACGGCAAGCAGTAACAGTCAAATACTCGATGGGGTTCAATCGATAGGTATTGATCATGAAGTCTCGGTAATCTTTGTATGTAGCAGGCGTCTTACTGCGGTTGCGGCCATTGAAGAATTCGGCGAGAGCTTTCTTCTCGATTGGGTTAATGGTGTTCATATCAAACCACGTCGCATAGCTGGGGAGAATGATGGCGTGTGTTTGCGTGACGAGTTGTTCGCGCGCGGCGGCTTCCAGAGACGACTTGGATGGTGCGGGTTGTTCTTCACCCACAGCATCCTCAAGCCCATCTGTTCCCTCTCCTTGCGTATGCGACTCGCCCGCAGCATCCTCCAAGCCTTCGGTGTCGGGCTTGGCGTCGGTCTCAGTACCACCCATCTCTTCGTCTTCCGGTTCAACCCCGCCGTTGCGAGGTTTGGGAGATGCTGGGGCGTACATCGGATTGTCGGACCCAGGTGTATTCTCAATCTTCTTCACGGGCGAATTCTGGCGCGATTGCGCTCCTGTCCACAAATTTAGCACTCGGTGCAACATAAAAGCCATTTGAGAGTAGGCATACCTGAGGCTCCGCGAGCTGCATCAGCTGCGCCATCTAGGCCAGTCATAGACTGGACATTCTCGTGGGCCGCAGCTTGGTTGATGTGAGTGTCATCCATGATGGATCAAGGCAAACAGCTGTCGCGGTCGGCAGAATGTCAACTTCTTTCCGTATCAGTCTGTCTGCCGTGTAAAGCGCAATGGTAGTATACGATAAAACAGTAAAAAGCCAGTAATGGCGTGAACGAAGGCCGCGAGAGATGGAAGAGGAGACCTAAAGTGATGATTGGACGGGTTGCTGGGGGCACTTGGGGAGGTTGGTCGCGACACGCAAAACTCACGGGTGAGTGCCAAGAACTGAATCGCCACTAACCACTTTTGGACCAGGCTGCTTTCCCCGTGGTCAGGTGATTTATTCTACATTATCAATGTATGAGAACTACCTATCAAGGATCTGGTTTAATATTTGGAAGGTTCTGTAGTTAGTTATCAAGTTGTTACTATTAGTAATTTAATTTTGTCAGTAGAGGTCTACAAGACGGGCCACGTCATAGGGCATGTGTTGGAGAGTTGTCAGAGCTGTAAAACTTGAACTGCAGGAGCAAATAGCAAAATTCTAACTTTTCCTTGTCATAATGCCGAGCTCAACTATTGTGATATAGATGTTGGAAATGTCAATGTGCTCGTAGTCATATTTTACAAACAAATGAGATATATAAGATACCAATGAAGATTACTTCGGACTAACCGCTTTCTTCTTCTTGGTCGAGGACTCAACTCAACTCATCGTCATGCTCATCGTCTCTGTCTCTCTTAGCACCAGGAGGAGGAGAGTAAACAAGGGACAGGAGTGGAAGTGTGCCTGCCTGCGTCAGCTGCAAGTATATCGAGGTAAACAGTACGAGAAACAGGACTAGGTAGGCTCAGATTGAGCTTGCAACTTCTGCAAATATTTCAAGGGGAGTTAGCAGGGTTACGACTTCCCACTGTATACCTAGGCCTCGTTCCCGTGTATGATATAATAATGATAGTACTCCTCATGCGTTGCATTAGAAGACCGGACTATTGGCTTCTAAGATTGTCTGTTTCTCTCTTTTAGTACTTTGCCCATCTGAGCCCCAAGTGTCCGAGGCCAAAATTCGCAAAATGTTGTTGCATTCGCTAGCTAGGAGACAGAGAGAGAGTCAGTCCTTTCCGCGAAGCTTGTCCGCAAGTAATCAACATATTCGGTACTGACTTCTCCCGATGCGCAGCTTGTGTGCTTGCGAATCTCAGGATCGGAAGTTCTTCCACCCAGCCGGACATAGTTCGTCTCAAACACCGAGATATGCTTGATAAGTCCAGGCGGGAAAGTAAGGTCCTGACTCCTATCTACCTGAGGCAAACAACGGTCTCAACATTAAACACTGTATGTGAGACCGCTGGTAATGTCCGAGATAGCCTTAACTCCGATGGATTCCTGGAGATAAAATGGCCCAGCGGAGTTAACAACGATCGAGGTCTATATATCTAAATCGCTTCGCACCTCAACACCAAGATTCCTCTTTGATAAGAATACCCGGGATTTTCTTACAATTCTCACTCCCATATCATCCATTGTTACCATGACATCCTTCTCCCTCCCTGCAGCTCTAACACCGGCCCTGAGCGGCCGCGACGCCATCACCGATACACTCTATCGCTGCGTCCTCGGGCTAGACACAAATGACGTGGCCCTCTTCGACTCAGCCTTCACCTCTACCGCTACATTCTCCATCCGCGACAAGACCTTCTCGGGCCTTCCTGCCATCCGCACCGACATTTTCGACATGATCAGCAAGCTGGATACCACACACTTCGTCACCAACATCCGCATAAATATCGCCGACAGTGGCGTTAAAGCCGCAGCGACCGCCTCTGCGCTCTCGCAGCACTACCGCGGTGGGAAGGGGAATGAGCCTGATCAGCCACGGCTGATGGCTGGGGCGCAGTACTATGCTGATTTGGTAAAGGATGAGGAGAGTGGACTGTGGAAGATTGAGGCCTTTAAGATGACGACGTCTTGGGCGGAGGGTGACAGGGGTGTGATGAATTCAACTGAAGGATAGAGGTGTCAGGGGAAAGCAGTATTCCCGAGTTAAACACAGATATGGCCGACTTTAGATACAAGATGTGACTTGAAGGTAGCTCTCTCGCGTTCAAATCCGCAATAATTCATTTGGATCTCTTACATCCTCCACCGTTGTGTATGCTGCTTTTATATCCGTAATAGAAATATGATGAGTCAAGTCGCAGCCTCCTGGCTTAACTATTCGCTCGTCGGTACATGCTGACTTCCACCCGCAATAGCTTCACCAGTCCGGGCCCTCAGATAATTCGGTACTTCTTTATAAGGTAGATACGGGTAGTAAGGTATATAACTTATATATTGTAATATCTCTGCGATATTCTATTATAGGAGTAAATATAGAGTGATAGATCTCTCGTCACAGCTTATATTCCAGGCAAGCTCTCTCGCGTTTCACATATTAGACGTTATACTCGGTAAGTCGGAGACCTAAATATATGTCTAAGTATATATATCTTTATAGCGTTTGTATTGTATTTTGTGTATAATCCAGAGGCTATATATTAACTAGGACCGCTAGTTCTATAACCACAACTTGTAATGTCTCTGAATGAGAGGCATACTTAGTCGTCCGTATTCGGGGATGAATACCCTGTATCAACTAGGTATTGCAACCTACTTCTTGATAGTTTCCCTTCTCCTCTCCAACTATTTACCCATCGTAATGATACGCCATTAACCACATTTACCTAACCATAAATTTGCGGAGTCAATGGAGATTAAGTTGAAGGGCAAGAGAGGCAGGACTCAATTCAGTTGAACAACAGGATTGCAACATTATATAAAGACCTTGACCGGCTGCCTCCGTTCATTATCCCATAAACCTCCAACAATAGATGGGTTTATGAGTAAACATTTTGCTTCCACAACCGGGCGGAGATATATTGCCTTAGTTAATTCCTACGTTGTAAGCAGAAGATTCTTAAGGCCCCCTTCTGCAGCGATAGTGCGCTCGTACGCCTCCTGGAGTCCGTTAAACACCATCCACTCGGTTCCTGAAGCCTCATGTATGTGGCCACATATATGGAGCCTTGGTCGAACTCTCCATAGCGTCTGTAGTAGATGAGGACAACCGATTTGAGTAGGTCAAGATGAGCATGGGGCGGACCATGAGTAATCAGCACGTCAATTCCATCTGGTACTAAGGTAGCCCATATATCTTGATTTCGAGGATATTGGAAGGCCCAGTTACCATGACGGGGAGAATAAGGGCTTCCATAGACCTTAAGCTGGCGACCATTCGGGCAGGAAACTGTTACCTCCTCATTTTCCAGGTAGATAATATCGCCCCAGTAGAGTTGAGCTCGCTCAAAGGCTGCTCGACCTAGCGAATTATCCCAAGCTGAATCAAGTAATAGCTCATGATTACCAGCAATCACTATTTTAATAGCATGAGGTAGGTTACGTAGCCAGGCAAGTGCGTCCTGAAGTTCCTGAAAAGATCCAGACTGTGTGAGATCACCAGTATAAGGATGCCACCATCTGGTACGTCGGGTTTGATGATGAGACACGTCAGCGAGCAGCTGGCTGGCGTGGCTAGAGCCACTCATCAATGTGTACGGAGTAGAATTTGGGAAAGGCACTAGAAGAAGATGATGAAAGAACTTGATTTGGAATCGACAAAACTCGGGAGATGGTGGGTGGTAAGAGGAGAGCATCCCGAAGCGACGTGAGAAATATGTACACCAAAGTTAGGTAGGTGGTACCGTACGTACGTCTCAGTAATCAATAACCCGCCTGCCTGTAATCTATGACGGAAAATCGTGGTAATGTATATTGGTCAAATTGAATGGCAAAAAATTCCAACTCTCTAAAATACAATGGTCCGAAAAATGACATTTTGGATTGTTTGGTGAAATTCAACATGCCGAATGAGATCTGTATGACTTGATATCCGTCTCCTTTTGCGATGTGCTTCACCGGTCTCTTCCGTTAATCTAGGGCGACGAGAAGTGCCAGATGGTCTAGAACAAGCTAAACCAATCGATGAAACCGAACAGTCGCTGCTAGACCTTAAAGTATTACCCTCATTATCTGTGGCTCTTAAGCTAGGCTCTGAAAAGGTTGACTCAGAAGTATCGGACCCTTCGTTGGAAATCTGAAGCCTCCGAATGAATACCTCCATTTTCGTTAAGGTAACTTTGTGGTGATATTATATATAGTACTTTATATCGTAGCTTTCGCGGGTATAGTCGGCCGATCCGAAAGCCGGATAGAACTAGGTATATAGTCTTCGCCCTGGTATCTAAGTCTATATTAATACTAACAGTTGTTCTAAAAAATTTTAGCTAAGACTGGATGATAAAATATTAGACTTACTGTTGTAATATATCTGCAGCTTACTATACTATATCGAAGTTTCTTGAAGAATATCTGTAATTTACTTATCCTCCGAGACTAGTAGGTTTATTGAAGCTGGTTCGAGCAACCGATCTCAACAAAGCACTTTACCATTGCTCCAGGAATCTGACTGGGAGAAAGACAGAATCTATGACGAGGATTCACTACTTTATAGAATGGCGGGTCACTTTCTACAATAAGGCCGTGGTGAAGGACACTGAAGAAGACCTTCGCATTCGAGTCGTAAATCTGCTAATGGTCTCGAAAATGACCAAACCAGCGGGCCATAACTCCATGGCTAATGCATTTCGGAAAATGCGGATTGAATTTTCGAAATGCCAGGACATTTAGTATATAGGAGAAGATTCTGCATTGACAGTATCCCATGCTCCTCCGCTACTTGCATCCCACGCGCAGTGTGTGTCAGGACCTACTAATCATTGAGTTTTCTCTTCCTCAAACTCACAATCATTCCTTGCGCACCGGAATACAAAAACACGACCACGCTCGATCTGTCCACGAGAAAACTCTGAACAGTCACACAAGGGATTCCCATCTCGAATGCCCTCCCAGTCATCAAAGACCATACAAGGGCAATGTCCGCAGAAATAACGCCATCTGTCCCTATTGCCGTTATAATTGCTGCTTGTCTGGCGACGAGACATCTGAGCGCCGCAGCAGTCGGGCGCCCGTGAGAACAGGCGAGGGATTGCTCTGGGCATATTGAGAGAGATGGAGGCAATGGTGTCTAAATTTTGTCAGCTTGGAAGTGATACCAGCCAAGCCCCTTACTTACAGTGGTTTGAGTGGCCAGTGGCAGTGAGGAACAACTGCGCGTATCTCAGGCTAAGACCAACAATCAGAGGAGCACTATAAGGCGGGAGATAATGCCATTAGAGGGGATTATAGAGGCATCTTATACTCGATCCGTCCCGCTAAACCTGACACAAGTCCTAGCAAATTCTCCTACAATTGGCCAAGGCCAAAATGACCGTGAAAACACAGAATGACGAATACCTGATTGTACCCCAACAGCTGTCAGCGCATAGATACCCAAAATTGCCAGATTAGTCGGAATCGAACATACTTCAGTTGCCTGCGCTGACGCTATTGAGATCGTGTTCAATTCTCGAATATCTCATTCGCGAATTCAGAAAACCCTCGCTGCCCATGACGTGAGATGAAAAGCCACCAGGATTGGTGTCTCGCGTTGATGCATGATCGACCGAGCCACGATAACAGCGACTAAGAAGTGTTTGATTTTCGGCGACAGGATTGGTTATTGCGAGTCTGTGCTGCCTTACATGCAACCGTCAACTGCGGAATGACCTAACCATAAGCCTGAATGTTGGATTCTCGAATTTTGGATTGGTCCACCAGGTACATCGACAAGTTGTCTTTAAGCATGATCATCACTCGTGCGTTTCTCTGCGACTATATTGGCCATCTATTTCTGAGTATTCGCGTCCCGCACGAGTCTCTGAACAACTGCCTAAGGTAGGCACAGTGCCGCACAGACCATCTGCAAGGCTATAGATACCCCCGATCGCACTCAGAGACTTGTCCTATCCACTGAGCTTACCGTTCTCTTTTTTACCTTCCTATCCCTTTCCCTTATTCGCTATCTGGTCGGCTTTTCGGCTGACTTGTCAAACTTGATCGTCTCTCCTACTTCGGCCGACTCGATCGCATCATGGCATTTTTTCGCAATCTACAGGACATGCCAACCACGGTAGGCCTTGTATTACCACTCTACATTGGCGGAGCTGATTTCTTTTTATCATTAGCAACAAGAATTCGAGGTTCCGAGTAACTTTGACTTCGACTCCGCAGCCAATCAGGAATTGTTAGTGATCTTCCTACTGACGACGACTTGAAATATATACCTCAAACACGTCAGCGGCAAATGGTTACAATACCAAAGGCGACGTGAATTAAAGCTTTCTTATGGCCGCAATAGAAATGTGTGTTGAGGGGGCAGTTGGATCAGCATGACTATCCACTGTAAATGTCCAGCTCGGAAAGGCGTTCAGGTAACAGCAAAGTCGCCAAGGACAATGAGGCTAGCGCAAGCCGGGGAGAAAGCAAAAGAGATAAATCCAATCAATGGAATATCTCAAGGACAGGAGTCGCCTTTCCGGGTATCTACGTATCAAGTATCACGCGCGCGAAATAGCCTTGCAATGCAATTGCATAATCCCCGCCTGTCCTGCTGCATTATGACCCGTAATGTTCAGCCATATGCTTCTCCCCGCCAGGAGTCTGTCTTCGACACTCCTGCTGGCGTTTGGACGAGGGAATAACCAGTGGAGAGTGGTTGAGAGCTAATGTTGGTTTGGGTAGTGATGATGACAAATCTTATGCTGGGCTTTGGCTCGAGGGCCAAAACCCAATGGAAATTGAGTATCATGAACTGGAGATGATTGATGTCTCGTTCCAGCCGCCTATACCTCCCATAGTATACTCCCAACCTGAAACGGTTGGTGACAAGCTTGACGTCGCGTCTTCTTTCACTAGAGATGCCGCGCTGGATTCTGACGCTTACAATACCGCTGCCTTGCACCAGTGGCCATTTCAGCCGGCCCACGAAACCTTCAATCAATGGTCTTTAATCAATGGTTGTTCGATCAATACTTCCTCTCGTTCGTACTCTGTGCCCTGATTACTTGGAGACGGTGACTTGCTAACTAGCCCATAGAAGCCCAGTGGAACGACCAGATACCACAGTCAGTTCCTGCATATGAAATCGAGCATGTACCATCTGCGAGTAAAATTGCTCAGAGTCCCTTTCGACCACTCCGGCCAAAGCCAACACAGCAGCAGACCCAAGTGCCCAGACTAGCAGCGTCAAAAAAGCCATTGCATTGCACGAAGTGTTCAAAGACTTACAATTCCCCGGGTGGGTTGAGAAGGCACGACGTTAAGGGGCACGATGCAGAGAGGAGAACTGGTGGTCGGCCTTCAACTAGCTCAAGACGACTGTCTTGATTGTTGTGAAGGACAAATAATCGGATATTTGCGTTTCCTTGGGTATTGCTAGTCGAAGTTACTCGTGGTTTAACTAAGAAATCCTTGTGGTTCATTGTTCTTACAAATGGTACTTGTATGACATTCCCAGGAAGATTGAAGCTGATTCAAAACACCCGCAATTATCTGTCAAGGAGCTTACGGTATTACCACGGGCCTTAGTGATCTCTCCTGGCTGGTCTGCGATCAGAAATCGAGGCTAAGATGAGAGTGTTGGAGAACGAGGCACGATCTTGCTATAGCAGAAACTGGGTATGAGCGAGAAGCCCATTGAACTCAGTTTTGAGTTACTTGAGGCTGTTCATGGCCGTCTTTGTAAAATCTGACTCAAATATGGAATAATAGTCAAAAAGAGACGGGGCGGGGTCCCATAGACTAGCTGTTTTTTTGCACAGTCCGCATATCCTGAGGAGGCCCAGGCCTGACCAATCGGGGCGTCAATACAGGCGTAGTACTTGTGGTATGATGCTTCCAGTTTTAGTTATGTGCATGCCGAGCGTTTCAAGGGAAACGGCACGGTCCAATGAAATTCTGCTTTTGTCTGGCTGAAAGGGTCAATGCATTGGTCGTGCGACTTGGGTGATTTCTTACCTGGCTTCTCACCCCGTCTATAGCGCACTCACCCTTGTCACCCACGGTCGCGCGATGCTAAAGTGGCGCTCACCATTATATCACCTTCCACTTATATGTTATTAGCCTCTTCTACGCCCGAAATTTCTCACCCAACCCTCACTCTGCCTATTGTTGTTGCACTCAGTCCTTTTCACCGCCCAATTTTCTCACTCTTGTTCTATATACCTCTCCCACAAATAGTCTGATACATACGACCATAGGGTGTGGAAAACAGGGCTTCCCGTCCGCTCAGCCGTACTTAAGCCACACGCCGGTGAGTTAGTAGTTGGGTGGGTGACCACCAGCGAATCCTCACTGTTGTATGTTTTTTGTTTTTGCTTATTCAGTATAGCAATAATAGCATGTTCATCTTAGGCCCCGTTATGGAAGTCTATAATAAGTTTTTAGAAATTAAGCTTAACGAGACATAAGCACTTGACGTGCATATCTAACGTTATGACCATCTAGGGAGAGAGGTCACCTGACCCAATGATAACGATGAGACATAAACTGTCTTGTCCAGCTATAGTCTATAATTCTCAGCTGCTTTATGTTCCCCTCTAATATTTGAACTAACACATACGACCATAGGGTGTGGAAAATAGGGCTTCCCGTCCGCTCAGCCGTACTCAAGCCACACGCCGGTGAGTTAGTAGTTGGGTGGGTGACCACCAGCGAATCCTCACTGTTGTATGTTTTTCGTTTTTATTTATTCAGTATAGCAATGGCATATTCATCTCAGGCTCTTAAAAGGGGTTGTTTTGAGCGTTGACTTCCTGAAGGAAAGTCGAAGAACATGGTTTTTCGATTTTGTTGTCTCTCATCCTCTTCTTCCAACGGGTCAAGTTTCAAAGGCCCAGCATTTAGCACCTCAAGGTAGCAGTTTTCCAGATGCTTGTTTAGCAGCGGTGTAGGAAGCTCTCTGATCTTGCAGATAGCACTGCTTGTCATGTTGGCTACCTGTATAGGCTCAGGTGGGGGTGATGGAGGCTCTCCGGCGACCCTTTTTGACCGGCGAGACCTGGTTGATTTCTTGGGGCCATGCTGGCCATGAGAAGGGTGCTGGTACAGATCCGGTGTGTCGAAGAAGATTCTTGTGAAGATAATGAAGGGTTGTGCGCTCTACCTTCTGGTTTTGTTGCCCTTCCTGTAGACTATGCAAAGGACGCTTCTCGCTTACGTTCGAAGAATAAGGCAAGCGGATGACAAGTCGTCTCATGTCCTCTGATCGTCAGACATATAGTTTTCTTTTTTTTTCTTCTCTCCTCGTACTTGGTATTTGGTTGAAAATGCTTTCTTTCCTCTGAATTGATCTGCCAGGTAACAGTGAGGACGAAATGGTAAAGTTGCTGAAGAGGGAAATCTAAAGATCAACCTGAGTGCCCACGAAGGTGTAGAGCTGAGGAAAGGGAAAAGGAAGAAGAGCGGATCCTGAGACGCCATTTCTATGTCAACGCTATCTCTGCGAGGCGCCAGATCGATCTTGAACAAGGAGTAAACTAAATAACGAAGATGGAAAAAGAAAGAAGAAGCAAGTTACAAAGTGGAAAGTGGAAAGTGTCACGATTGGCACGTGTAGAACTCGTACCTTCCCGTTTGGGATCGTACCGTTGGTCGTTTGCGCAAGTAATTGTACCTTCCTTTATGGCTAAGCGAGGATAGGGCTATGCCCCTAAAGGGGTATAAGGACCTGTTTATTGTTTTACGTTTTGTTTTCTTTTCCTTTCTTCTTTATACTTGATATTTGATTAGTAATATACTTCTTTTATTGAAGAGAACCTGGCACGTAATATAATATTAAGTATCACCCTAAACCTAAACTTTCGAAGCCGTATAACTGTATAGACAATTATTACGATTAGTCCTAGTCCGGTTTCACCCTACCTATCCTAAAACTAATTAGAATAGGACCAGCTATAGTTCTACTATAATAGATCGCTGCGATTGGTAAGGGAAAACAACCTATAGTACTAGATTATCTTATAGAAGAAGCTGTAAACCTTAAAACCCCGACTCCTACTAGAATATAGGACCTAATTAAAAGTATTAAATATAATGGCCCTAAGGAGGGTCCTTCGACTCCTTCTATCTAAGAGATTATATATATAACTCTTAGTAAGGAACGATTTATTAAGCTAGCTAATTAGTTCTAAATAGTTGAAGATAATAACTAGATAATATAAGATAAAATCTAAATCTTAATTATAGAGAATAGAAAGTCTAAGGAAGCTATTAAACGAATTATAGAGGAATATAATTGATTCTATATAGAAAGGGATTACCTTATAATAGAATATAACTAAGCTATAGAAGAATGTAATAAAGTTACTACTTATAGAGATATTACTATATATAAGCGCGATAACCTTACCTACCGCCTCGTTCTTACTTAGAGTAAAACGAACTAGGCCTAAAGTAATATACCGATTATAGGAGTTACTAGCTAGAAATCTACGAAGATACCTAATATACTAATACTAAAGGATAGAAAGGAAGTCTATTTCGAAATATAGGAAATAGTTATTAGATAGAAACTTAAAGTAAATACTAACTACTACCTACTACTAGTTTACTAGAAACTATATATATAAAGCCGATATAAAGGTAAAGTATAGCTATATATTACCCTATAAATAAATATAACCTTAAATAACCTATATATTAATATAAAAGATATTATTATCTACCTCTATACTATCTTTATAAACCCGAATTATTATATAGAAGTATATATAGCCTACTATAAACTTAAGATAAAACCTAAGAAAGATTTTACTAACTTTTTAGTTAAATTTATATAACTTATAGAAGAAGCTATAGTTATTAAAGAAAACTATAAATATAACCTATATTCGAAACTTCTATATCTATTATAGAGCTAAGTTATATAGGCTATTAATTAGGAAATAGTACCTTTCGATACCTTTACCTAGAGTTATTAGAGTATATCCTATAAGATTAGTCTTTAATAGGAAGTAAAGGGTACCGCGTATACCTATATAATAACTACGTTTAGAAGTAAAGCTAGGACTACTATTAACTAGTCTAGTTTTATACTATATATAAAGTATAAAGAGGCTACCTTATTATCTAGCCTATTAGCTATAGAGTGAGAGACTCTTATAAAGGAGGGTCGATACTTCTACTATAAGGAGAAGGGGTATATAACATTCGAATACCTAAAGAAAAAGGTAAATATAGCTATAAGTACCGTTACTATAACTAACTAGACCTATAGTTAATTATATATAACTAAACTTAAAGAATTAGAGGATAATATAGACCTAGGAAAAGTAATAGCCTAGGAGAAGTCTTAATCTTAGGTAGGAAATAAGTATTACTATATATACTAGATCTATATAAGCTTTTAGGAGGTCTATAAGATAGTTTAGTATTTAATATAAGATTAACTTATAATAGATATTCCTTTATAATCTTAGTACTAGTAGATACTAGAGTAGATAGCTTAATATTTATTAATATAGAACTAGTTATACTACTTAGTAAGAAATTCGGATTATATACCTATAAGCTAGACTATAAGTATCTAGTTAGAGGATTTAATAGTAAATTATCCTAACCGATTATATATACTATTGTCCTTATACTAAGTATAGATAACTAGATCTAATAGTAGGTTCCTATATTAGTAGCGGATCTAGGTAGATATAATATGATTATTAGATATATATAGTTTACTAAGAATAATGTCCTCCTTAACTACTAACGGTATTATATAATCTAGCTAGATAAGAATACCCTTTTCGATAAGGTAGTAGGCTAGTTAGCTATACTAGTACCTATAATAATCCTTAAACGGCCTATATAAATTGAGCTAGATTACTAGAAGGATATAGAATAATATAATTATCTCTTTAAGAAATAAGCCTTAAGTAATCTATAATAGAACCTAAAGACTTAGAAGCTATACCCTATTATAAGGGAATATTAATATAGATACTAGTAAGTTAAAGAGTATTATAAGATAGTATAAAACCTAAATAATAAAATTGAACTAGTACCTCTCTAAATAGAGGTACTAGAGAAGGAAATAAAGGAAGTTCTCCTACTAATAGATATTAGTATTATCGGCTAGGTAGGATTTAATTATTTATAAATATAAATGATTATCGATAAAGATATCGAAGTCTTCTAGACCTTACTCTATAAAATCGATTAGATTATTAATATTAAATCTATAATTATAAAGGATATAGAACTTAATAAGATTAAATAAACCCTTCTAAGAGAGTACTATAATCTTATAGAAATATTCTCTAAGAAGAAGTCTAATAAACTACTACTATATTATCTAAGAGTAGACTATAAAATCATCCTTAAAGTAGAGGTATAGCTAAGATACTATCTACTCTATAAATTATTATTAGATAAACTAAAGGCTATAAAATAATATATCCTTAATAACCTCGAAAAAGGATTTATTATACCTAATTTAGCTCTATATACCTTACCGATCTTAATAGCTAAGAAGCTAGGCAGTAGTCTACGTTTCTATATAGACTTCTAAAGATTAAATATAATTATAAGGAAAGATTATTACCTATTACCCCTTATTAATAAAGTATTCTAACGAATAAGTAAAGCGAAGTTCTTTATAAAGCTCGATATCTATTAAGGTTTCTACTATATTAGATTAATACTAGCTATAGAAGATCTTATAATATTCTATACCTAATATAGATCGTTTAAGTATAAAGTAACTCTATTTAGTCTTATAAACAGTCTAGTAATATTCTAGCGATTTATAAATATAGTACTTAGAGACTATATAGATAATTATATAGTTATATTTATAGATAATATTATAATCTATAGTAAGATACTTAAAGAATATAAGAAGTATATTAGAGAAGTCCTTAAATAGTTATAAAAGGTAGGATTATAGGTTATACTATCTAAGTATAAATTCTCTATATAGAAAACCAAGTTCTTAGGATTTATTATAAGTACTAAGGGTATTACGGTAGATCTAGAAAAGATTGTAGTTATTAAGAACTAGAAGATACTATTAATAATTAAAGGAATATAGTCCTTCTTAGGATTCTATAACTTCTATTAATAATTTATTAAGGATTATAGTTTCCTTTCGAAACTATTATACTATCTTATATAGTATAATATAGTATATAAATGGTTACTAGACTATAAGTAAGCATTTATATAACTAAAGTATAAATTAATAACTATACCTATCCTATAGTATTATAATCTAGACCTCTAGACCTATATAGAGATAGATATCTTAAATAGAGTTATTAGTACTATCCTCTTATAATACTATAAGACTAACGATTTTTAGTATCCTATTACCTTCTTCTTAAAGACTATATAACCTATAGAGCTTAATTATAAAATTAGGGATAAAGAACTCCTTACGATTATTTATATACTCTAGGAATAGTACCTAGAACTTAAAGGACTCTCTTATATAGAACGTTTTAAGATCCTTATAGATTATTAATCTCTTAAATACTTTATAATAGTATAATAGATAAATTAATAATAAGTATAATAGAGTAAGTTCCTCTTATAGTTCTACTTTATAATTAAATACTATCCTAAGAAACAGAATATTATTATAGATATCCTTTTAAGAAAGGAAAGTCCCTATATAGATATTAGTTAATACCTTATATTACTCCCTAAAGAATATTTCGGAGAAGAAATAGAACCGGTACTAGAAATTGAGGTATCTCCCTTATAAATAGAACCTATATAAGATACTAAGGCTCTCCCTCTATTAGTTAAGACTATATAGGACCTAGATATAATTAAATAGGTTTAGTTAGTAAACCGCTAGAACCTAGAGCTAGAAGTATTCTAATAGATTATAAGAGATTAAACGGATCCCTATTAGGTAGTATAAGATAAATTACTACTATTTAAAGATTATCTAGAAGTACCCGATAAAGGGGATCTTTAAGTATAGTTATTTAATAAGATATACTAATAACTACTAACTATATACCCTAGTATTAAGAAACTTAAGAAGCTTATTATAACTAGATACTATTAGCTAAGATAGGTTATAGATATAAAGTAATATATAGATAACTATCTAGTATATAAATATATAAAGACCTAGAGAGATTGTATACCTAGTCTCCTATACCTACTACCGATTCCTAAACGACTGTGATAATATCTATTAATAGATTTCTATTCCTTCCTAAAGGATAGATATAGCTATAATACAGTATTTATTATTATTAACTAACTAAATAAGAGACCAATATTAATTCTCTATTATAAAGATACTAATATAAAGTAGATAGCGCGTTTATTTATAGATAATATTATATAGATTATAGGAATCCCTAAAACTATTATATTAGACTAAGAAGGACAGTTTATCTCTAAGTTCTAGATAGAATTCTATAGAATCCTAGGGATTAAGTGAAAACTATCTACTATATACTACCTATAGATAGATAGCTAGAGCGAAATTATAAATTAGTTTATAGTATAGCGATTGAGACTATATATTAAATATAATTAGGATAATTAGTTAGAATACCTACTAATAGTAGATTTCGTAGTATTAATTCTTCTATAGGATATAATAAAGAGGTCCCCTTTCTTCGTTAAATAGGGTTATAAACCAGTAATATCTTTCGACTAGAATTATATAGGACTAATATATAATAAATAAGAGATAGCTAATCGACTCTTAAAGTTATAATAAATCTAGGAAGATATATATAAATAAATTGCGAAGTTATAGGAACTATAAATATAATAGGCTAACCGTTATTATTATAAAGAGGACTTCGATATTAGCGACCTAGTCTTTATTACTATAAAAGATTAGCTATAGGACTATCTAAGTCGAAAACTCTCCTATATAACTAATAGACCCTATAAGATTATCGAAAAGGTTAGGAATATATATAAGTTAGAACTACTATAGTTAATTAACGTCTACCTAGTATTTAACCTAAGTAAGCTATAAAAGGCAGCGAGTATAGAACTACTTATAGGATAATATACAGATCCACTACCTCCAATATAGGTAGGATAGACTAATAAGTAGGAAGTTAAAAAGATCCTAGATATAAGAAAGTATTATAGGAAGCTATAGTACTATATATAGTAGTTAGGATATAACCTAGATCCTATATAGTACCCGGCCGGTAACTTTAAGAATACTCTAGAGATAATTAAGGAATTCTATAATACCTATCTAGCGAAGCCTAGACTACCGATATATCTATAAGAATAGATTGAGACCGCGCGGGATAATTGAATATTAGACAACCATATAGATAACGAGAAGCTAGCATTTAGGGACTAAATATATTCTTACCCAGGGGTTATATCATAATTAGTATATATAGAACTCGTACCTTCCCATTTAGGATCGTACCGTTGGTCGTTTGCGTAAGCAATCGTACCTTCCTTTATGGCTAAGCGAGGATAGGGCTGTGCCCCCGAAGGGGTATAAGGACCCGTTTGTTATTTTACGTTTTGTTTTCTTTTCCTTTCTTCTTTATACTTGATATTTGATTAGCAATGCACTTCTTTTGTTGAAGAGAACCTGGCACGTAACAGAAAGCAGCCTATTGATATATATAGCTGACCCTTTGCAAACATTGCAAACGTCGAACCTTCTCGCTTAGCTAGCTAACAATCTATCCAATGAAGTAACGCAAACAGTAAGCGAGCAAGCAAACATGAAAGATATGATGATAGCATGCCTAAGAGCTGCACGCTTACCTAGGTATCGACGTCGATTAATTTGCGCCTTTTGGCCTGGCTCACCTCCCTCTTCTGCCTAGGTAGTGCACATTGATTCCTAGAGTTGTAATCAAATCACATTCTACCCCATACTTTCATCATCCATTGCATTGGTCTAGCTCTAATATTTAGCGCCAGCAAGAAGAGGGAAGCGTTCATATTTCATATATTGCCTGTGTGACGATCTAGAGTTGGGTCTCTCTCAGATTCGGGAAGGGAGCAACTCTTTTGGCCGAACTGACCTATCTATAGTGTTTAGAATGAAATAACCGTATCACGGGGAGACAAGATAAAGTGGATTTTATCTCTGACCCGCTGCTATGCTACTATTCAAATATAAACCCAAGCAATTTTCCTATCGATAAACACGGCCAACTCTGGGTAGTCAACTTTCGGCACGCCGGAGTTCTCCCTTCGAGCTTCATGGGTTATACGATCGCCGCTCATCCCAAAGCGTCTACCAGTCCATATCCGAAAAACGGTCCCTTTGCCAAAGTTGTTGAACCTAACACGGTAACACCTCTAGCTCGTGGCGCCTATCTGGTGAAACTTGGCCATAATGACTTTCGTATGCCCAAGTTCGTATGCCCAAGTTAGCTTATTTGTTCTCCTCCCACAAACATAGTGGCAGATCAGGTGATCAGAATAATATGGGTGGTTATAGGTCATGTCTACCTGAAATACCATAGTAAATTTATACAAGGTACTTGAAAATCGCGGCCAGCGTAGACATTTCTACAAGGTTAGTAGATGTATGCCGCAATAGAAAGAGTCAATTCAGGTATTTGAATTTCCGTAATCGGCAAATCTTGTTTCCGTAATTCACCATACCGCGCATACCAAACAATACAACAATACCAGTACTAGAAATACTAAAATACTTTTCCAAGTCCACCTGGTCACTCGGTCTCCTTTTCTCTTTATTTCATGTCCACCTCTCCTATACATCAAAACCAATTCCTATCATATCATTTCTTATACACAATGGCATACAGCCGCTTTCGGCAACCATACCTTGACGACGGTGACATGGGACCGTACCTGCCCGCTTTCAACGACGAAGATGGAGTACCGCTGTACGAAGCTCCCTACCAGGATCTTTTGGCTGACATTTTGACAAACAATGATGTGGCCTCTCTCCATTTGTATAATGATAGCGCCAACACGAGGGTCTTTTGGGAAGAATACGAGACGTACTACTATCATCCGTTAGTTCATGCGGCAAGATCCGGCAGCTTTGATGTGCTCAAGGCCCCTGCTGGAGATTTATCTGGCGGATTCGACGCTCACGGAACCCATCGACCAATATCTCGTGCGCAATCAGAGTTCTCCAATCAATGATGCCTGCGCGGCTGCAAACCATGAGGTAATGCTCTGGTTGCTACACCATGATCCGCCGTTGGGGACGTTGCATGACCGATCGCGGTACATGGGGAAACACCCCTGTTCAGCGCGGCTAAAGCACTGGGACAAATCCATTATAAGGGTTCTCTCGGTACGGTCGCCTCCGGACATGAAAATCGAGATCAAATTGCACGCTTAGAAGACTTCATCTGCTTTCTTCTGGACATGGGCTGCTCGGTTCCGAACTCGGATGTCTATGTGCACGCTCATGGAACAAAAAAGCCATCCCACTTAGATCAACCACGCGCGGGGTGTGTTCGAGACTGTGCTCGGTGCCGCCATCCCCTATGCAAGCTATCAGATGGTATCCCGCCTGATCGCCGAGGGAGCCGACGTTCATTCCCGGCAGAGGTGGCAAGGTAACGATGGGCCTGGTTACACCAACGCGATCACTTGCTCGAAAAACTTGGTCTTTATCTAGATGAGATGGCCGTCTTCCTCTGGGATGAATTCCAAACACTAGCAACGACCTCCAGTATTCGGAGGACCCTGGTCTCTAACCGTTGGTCTAAAAAGAAAGCTCGACAGATAGCTCGAGAGCAAAACGCTGAATTGTGAGAATATTATTTGTACAATCTCTCCGACTTTCAGTCGTATCATCTAGTTAGTATACGTCGATGAATCAGGCTGTGACAAACGGGCCGGGTTTAGACGGACAGGCTGGTCACCGGTTGGAAAAGCTCCCGTATAAGTGTCCCAGTTTCACCGCGACCAACGATGCCAGATACTTCCCGCGTATGCCTAAGATGGAATTGTCCTCTCTCGTGTGTTTTGCAGCTCAACTGATGCCACTATATTTGAGGACTTTATCGCTGAGCTTCTTCAGCACTGCGGAAGATGGCCCGAGCCTAAATCTGTTCTGATCATGGACAACGCGTCGTTTCACCATTCTGAGAATATTGCAGAGATGTATGCCGACGCGGGAGTAAAGTTGGTTTATCTGCCACCCTACTCGCCGGACCTAAACCCTATTGAAAAATTCTTTGCTGAGCTAAAAGGCTTCATCAAACGTAGCTGGTCTCATCCTTGTATTTCACCATGGATCCACCTCAGTGTTCGACAATAACGATTGGAACCCGTGAAAGTGCTCCCGATTTAGTAATGGTCGCCCCCCCCCCTACTATCAACCATCCCCCGCCTGAGCAATCATCAATTTACAATCCTCTAACCGGTCGCGATGGCTGAGGTCATAGGTGTTGTTTCCAGCGCCATCACTTTTACCACTGTTATAGTTCAGGTCGCAAATTCTATCACCAAGCCAAAGGAATTTCGAGACGAGTTGCGCGATACCCCCGAGGACCTCAAACAGTTAATCCGCGAGGTTGAGTTATTTGGACCAGAACAGATATAAATAACAGCTTTTATCGAGGCCAAATCAGCAGTTTTGCTTATCCTGCCATAGTGAGGAGTAATTGGGATATCATTGTGAAGTGTGCCGTCGTTATCCTTCCTCAAAGGATGGATCTGATATGTCGAGACACACTACAATGGTGTCTCGAGTTGCCGCAAGGGAATATTCATACAGAAGAAAATGAATTTGATGCCGTTAATTGGCTTTGGTGCGTTTGACCGGAGCTTACTCAGTGCAAAGCTTGATTGGACTTGGCCCGTGGCTGAAGCTTGGCGTATCATATTTGGAGTCCTAGTCGGACTCCGAAACCTCTGTATACGAGGTTCAATGTCCATTGCATGGTAAAGAAAGGGTAAAAAAAACACGTGCTTCGTTACACAAGAATAACTGAATGATAACACTGCCGGCCGGAAGTCTTCACCATAAACCGGTTTACTTTCTAGTTCTCGAGCCTTGTCTCGGACTAAACCTCTCTAGGGCTTTGCGCTCGGCCACAGACTCAATCCTTGTCATCTTCTTATCTCGCTTGCCATCGCTATCTTTCGTCGGCAACTTGAAAGCAAACTAATGTAGGCTAACCACTAGTGGCTTTGTTCATAGGACAGTTTTTGAGGGGTGAGTCCACTATCTTAAGCTAAGGTTAGTCAAGTTAAGCTAAACCCACTCTCTCCACCGGAAAGTCAACCGTCAGAATGCCTTATCTCTGTTTCCCCTCAGTACGCGTCGGACTAAATTCGTCCCCGCCATGGCCAATTCCTAAAAAAGGCGCCGTGTCTCACTGTATTTCATTTGTTTTTTTTTTCCGCAAAAGCGCTGAGACTGCGCAAATTTTTCTACCATGTATTCCAAAAAGTTAGATTCCGACACAATCAAACCCGCTCTCGTCGGAGTGGATGAAGAGGTAGTCGAAGGCCACTCAGACCAAATCAATCTGGAAAAGGACCCCGAGAATACAAATGAAGAGTTCAGCTATGAGTCGCACCGCTCTCCATTCCCCGAAGGTGTGTACCTAGCTCACTGTTGATATATATGTCGATTGACTAACAGTGACCACAGTTAGGGCTGTTGTCCCCGAGACGGATGACCCTAGCATGCCAGTGAATACGGTGCGGATGTGGCTCCTAGGCATTGTTTTCACTATGCTCGGATCTGGTATCAACCAGTTCTTTTCGCTGCGCTACCCGTCGGTTCATATTGTGGCCCTAGTAGCAGAACTACTTGCCTATCCAATCGGGGTGTTCCTGGCCAAGACCCTCCCTCTCACATCCATCCGACTCGGGCCTTTGGGCACATTCGTTGTCAACCCAGACAGGTCGTTTAATATCAAAGAGCACGCGCTTATCGTTATTATGAGCAATGTGTCCTTCGGGTATGCTTCAGCGGACGCGACAAACATTATCCAGGCTGCCAGCAAGAACTTCTACAATTTCAATCTCAAACCCGGCTTCTACGTGCTCATTGTTCTCGTCGCACAACTTCTTGGGTTTGGCGTCGCGGGTCTCGCAGCTCCATGGCTCGTCGAACCGGCTCGCATCGTCTGGCCAGGTGTATTATCCAACTGTGCTATGCTAGAAACGTTGCATTCGCGAGCGAACTCGATCGCAGATGGATGGCGCATAACCCGTCTCCGATTCTTCATGTACGTTATGACCGGTGCCTTTGTCTGGTATTTCTTCCCCGGTCTTATATTCACTGCGTTATCCTATTTCACCTGGGTCTGCTGGATCGCACCGAAGAACGTCATCGTCAACCATCTCTTCGGCATGCAGACAGGTCTCGGTCTAAGTCCAATTACCTTCGACTGGAGCCAGATTGCCTACAACACCAACCCGCTCCTATCGCCATCATGGGCTGCGTTGAATGTCTTCGCTGGCTTCGCGTTTTTCTACTGGATTGTCACACCCGCCCTTTACTACACCAATACCTGGTTCACAGCTTATCTCCCACTCATGACAGCCGACGTGTACGATAACACGGGCGCCATCTACGACACGGCTCGAGTCATTTCTGCGGATAATACTCTAGATACAGTGGCTTACCAAAAGTACTCGCCTCCATACTTGAGCGCAACGTTTGCCTTCGTATACGGACTTTCATTTGCTGCCATAACCTCAGTCCTCTCGCACATCGCCCTCTGGCATAGTCGCGACCTGTGGGCTGCTCTTAAAGGCCGGAATAAGCTCGATATTCACGCTCGGCTCATCCGTGCCTCGTACCGGCGGACCCCGTGGTACTGGTACGCTGGCATTATCGTGGTTATCATGGCAATGTCCATCGCGATGGTCGAAGTCTATGAGACTAAACTTCCGGTTTACGGAGTTTTTCTGGCCTTGATCATCCCGGTTGTATACATGGTTCCCTGCGGTATCGTACAGGGCATTACGAACGTGGATGCGAATCAGCTGAATGTTCTGGCCGAGTTCATTGGTGGATATATGTTCGAAGGAAAGCCACTCGCCAATATGATTTTCAAGATCATTTCCACGGATGTCGTGGGACAGGGTGTTTACTTCTCCATGGATATGAAATTGGCCCATTATCTGAAAGTGCCGCCACGTACCTGCTTTGTAGCGCAGTTTGTGGCCACTATCCTGGGCGCACTCACACAGGCCGGCGTTACACTTTGGATGCTTGGTAATATTTCGGATATTTGCGAATCTGGCCAGACGGATGGGTTTTCCTGTCCAAATGGCCGGACTGTCTATTCTTCATCTGTTATTTGGGGTCTTGTTGGACCCCGTCGGCTTTACTCCGTGGGCAAGATCTATTCCCCTCTGCTGCACTTCTTCTGGATCGGTGCTATCGCTCCAGTTGTGACTTTCCTCCTCTACCGTTATACTAGACGCCAGTTTTGGAAGTATATCAACTGGCCACTCATTTTTGTCGGAACTTACAACGTCCCACCTGGTATGTCCCACAACTTGCCAGTCTCTCTTTATTTCAATAGCTAACTCAATGCTTTTTTAGCGACCGGGATTAACTATTCCAGCTGGGCGCTGGTTAACTTTGCCTTCAACCACTTCATCAAACGCCGATTCTTTGCTTGGTGGACCAAGTACAATTATATCTTGGCAGCTGCCCTTGATACAGGTCTTGCCCTCAGTGGCATCGTTATTTTCTTTTGCATCTCGTACCCTGGTGCCACTTTCCCTGACTGGTGGGGGAATAACGTGTACTTGAATACTGCCGACGCCCAGGGTGTACCATACAAGTCGATGCCAGCTGTCGGGTATTTCGGGCCTGCTAATGGGACGTTCAGTTGAGGCAGATGATCACACGTCAATCACGGCGAAGAGTCTGCGCGGTCCCAAACAACTTTTGAAACATTACATAGTGCTTATTGCATCCATAGTGCTTATTGCATCGTCGTGGCTCTGTTTGGGGGCGTCACAACAATCCGTATTTTAGAGATATCATTATGACCATTTCGCATAAACCTATTTGATAACTTGGGCTGTAGTTAAATTCCAGCAACCATACAAAATGAGACTCATGTCCTTCGCAAGCATAGACCGAAGATAGAGTCATTCGCTGGGTAAACCAGTCAAAAGTCCGTTAAAGCCCTCAAGCACACCGGCATCGGCCACAATTCTCATCCACTCCGTCAAGTCCTCTTCAGCCCAATTACCGGAATCAGCCGAAGCCACGTTTTTAGATACATTTTCATCCGCCTTATCACTCATCATCAACATTGTTCGGCTAGCGAGCGCCACAAATATCTCACGGAAGGGTGCAGCAACATCCCATCGTTCGGCCATGACCACTAAAGCAATTGTGCAGTCATTGCATGTGCTGTTTGCTTGCCCATGGCCAGCTGCCTGTCGTGCGGCAGGTGATGTCCAAAGGCAGTGAAGATATGTCAATCCTGCAAGGAAAAGCTCGTGAAGTGCTGCCCAGGTACATCTCGTTGGCTTTCCTAAAAAGTGATGACGATAGCTTCGGCAAATGTTCTCTGCAGCGCCCAGACAATCAAGGAAAACCTCATCTGTAGTCTCCACGCGGTGATCGACGATTTGGGCTCGGTAAAGCTGTAAGATCGTGTAGTTGTATTCCAGATCATACCAATCTGCAGTCGTAAACAAGACAAGCTCCTCACCGGCGTGAAAAGCTGTGGGTGGAATTTCAGAGCGCCACTTCTCGATCTCGGCACGGATATTATTCACATCGGTCTGTTGGTCGTGCTTTCTTGAGTAGCGTGGGTCGGCTTTTGAGTAAATATAGGTGTGAATTCGATTCAAAAGACGTCGAATTCGAAATGTATGAATCGCTCTCGTCATATTGGTTGGTGCGTCAGTCGGGGAGCTCCGTGGCGTGCCAACAAGACCAGTTTCATTTATGCATGAATCATCGATGTCAATCGGATACTATACGAGAGTACATTAGAACAACACGTAATGCGTGCCTTTGGGCTAGTAATTTCAAACATACTTCAACATCGACCTCCTGGTAAGGGATACCAAGAGGTCGGCCCAGCATGACGGCAGCTTGAGTTTCAATCACATAGGCACACCAGAATACCCTCTTACGTAGCTCTACCTGAAGTAGATCTTTAGGCGCTGCAAGGTGCTTTGTATTCCGGTGATAACCCAGATCAATACACTGACGGAGTGCTAGACCAGCGAGTTTCCTATATGTCATCAGCGAAACATCATTTCCTCGTATTCATGCTGTCCATACCAGTGCGAAGTGCCAGTGGATGACCTAAGTGAGTAAATTGCGCAGCACAGGATGGCTTGTATAGCTTCTAGATTATCATAGGCCAGGATATCATCGATATACATTAGTGCTGACGTGTATAAACGCTAAGAGCCAGTCAGCTTTCCGTAGGTCAATCGAAATGTCTGCTTACCTCTGCTGAGAATCCGAGACTGGGTAAAAGCAAAGCGCCAACAGCATACACCTAGCACTGTGAGTATAATTTCAATGAGAATAAGGCCGTTTCCTCTCTTACCATATTCAAGAAAAACAGCGAGACAGAATTGGGGAGAAGAATTCCCAATTCCGTCGACTCGTTCAGTAGCATCGACTCCCACGCCCTAAAGGTCGGCTCATGTAAGAAGGGGTAATGTGTATTAACATTCTGAAAATAAATGTCGCTAAGTTTGACAGCCGATTCGTAGGAGGGCAATAAGCACGGTGATGGTAGCACGGAAGAGCGGTTCTCAGTCCAATCAAGCACGTTAGCCGTCGGAAAGTCAGAGGAAACCACTTGGCGAAGGGATGAATTGATCAGGCGTGAGAAAGCAAAAATCGAAGATGACCCCAAATATTGAGGCTCCGCTCCAGCTGCATTGAGACTTAGTAGGCCGACCTTTGATGACAGCTTGTCAACACCGTCATCTTCCTCGACATCACTTTTGGCTCTGGATGAGGTTGATTGATCACCGTGCCGTTGATCGGGTGTTTCAATGTGTTGAGCTAGGGGAACTGAATTTGGCTGAACTTCTGGTGGAAGTGTATATTGTCTGAGCGGGTCGCTATTGGCAAGATCTGGACGACATTGCCTCAGAAGACTCTCGAGAAATGTCACCCGTTTCTCTAAGATTTCAATGTAGTTTCGCGGCCGATATGCTCTCGTTACTGGATCTTCCACGAGACAGACTGTCATTCGGTGTCAGATTAACATCACAAACCCGCATATCAATGGAAGAAGCCGAGTGGCAAAAGAAATACCGACCAGATCCAGCACGGAGACAGTTACTACATCCCGAGACCCTATTGTCACACTTTATTATTGGATTAGGAGACTGAGCTTAACTTGAGGTTTGTATTCCTACCTTCAATTTCTTTTCTTTGCATTTCACGCACGCGAGCGGTGTCCTGCTTCCCGATGGAGTGCCTCGGGATGACTGTCTCTTATTATGTCCAGGTTGAAACATGAAGCAGAATACAATGGAAAATAGCCCATCAATCTTTCAACCGGCCTCGATTTTGCAGTGTGGTCACGTTCTGGGAGCAAGGCTGGACGTAGTGAGAATGATGAGAGATAGCACGGAGACTCTTTTCCCAGTACATTTTCAGAGCTTATCACTCGCAAGATTGATCAAGTCTTCTGATTGGCTCATCAATTTGCCAAAGGAAAATCCGAAATCGAAACAAAAAACCACCCAAATAAGTGATTGGTAACGAGTGAACTAGTCCCATTCCACCGATTCTTATAAATCCCCGCATTGCCGTGATTTCTACGCTTTCCCCAATTGTGGGTGGAGTTGGGAGATTACAAGGCTAAGTAACGTGACTTGTGCCCGCAATGTGCGGATTAGGAAATTATTTAATGTAGGGGTTTCTTCTTTATCATTCTTATACAAGAAATGGTATTTTTAGTAGTTAATTAGTTAGTTAACTGAATCTCAACAGACATGGTGACAAATTGTAATTGAACTTGTGGGAATTTGTATGGGTCACGTGCAGTTTAGCATAAAATCACCTGATGATGTGTCATCATTCTTGGACTATGACGTAAATGTGCCGCAACTCGGGCGTATCAGAGCAAATAATACAAATGGCGAAAGTTTTTGGTAGAGCATTATTGTGCGCAGATATCTAGGAGGTATGGAATTCTATAACATATGAAAAATTTTATTTACACGGTCCTAGCAAGTCCAAGCCCCATGGGAACGTACCAGTCAAAAATACATACTAACACTAAGCTCGACCTTGCCATACCACACTCCCAATATTTTGCTTGGAGACTCAGATACGAGCACGAACAGGTGATATCTTCACGCGCTCTTTCAGCCGTTCGGTTCTTGCTGCCGTGATTTGGAAAACCTCGGGCAGCCGCGTATCTGTCCAAGAGCTTCCATTCATCAACTTGACCAAGCCGGATGCTGCGGTGAAGATACGTGCCATGCCACTAATGAGTTGTAAGTATCAGCGTAGCCCGGTTCACAACCATTTAGGCAGCGTGGGAGACATGTATGAACTTACTGCCCGTGGTGCCCAGCACAAATCCACTGGCCTGGAAGTGCAGGTAATTGTCCGACGAAAGGCAGTCCGTCTTCGCTCTGATCTAATATTAGCCCATATTCGATTTTCACATCAAGCGAAGCACTTACAAGTCCAAGGATGCCACTCCAGGCCTCTTTGTAAGTCTCCCCCTGCTTCAGGGCATCGGTGGGCCATCCTTTGAATCCTTCTACTGCGAATTCCTGGATAGCCTTCGTGACCGAGTCAAATCCAGTCAGACCATCGTCAATGTACCGATGCGGGTTTTTCTCTAGCCACTCCATAAACTCATCTTGACCTGGGTTGCTGCCGCCGAAAAGAACCCCGCCGCCTCCGTTAAAACGAGGATTGATGGTGATCAGGGCGTTTTGGGGGAGTAGAACACCATAAGAGCCCTTGAAGCCTTCAAAGCCTGCATCAGCCTTGGGTGGGATAACCTTGTTGCAAATGTGAGGACATGGCGTGATGAGCCCCCGCAGAGACGGTTCGAGTGCAGAACTATAAGCATTGGTTGCATGGACAACTTCGGAACACTTGATATCGCCACGTTCGGTTTTGACGACCCACTTGTGTTGATCTTCCCCAGAATGGACGACACTGGTGGCTTGAGTCTTTGTTTGGAGGTTCACCCCTTTCTTGATATTGTCACGCATAACATGCGCCGCAAGTTTCCAGGGGTGTAGCGTCGATGCCGGCCACGCATAACATGCTTGTGCGGTTTTGATTTGCGATATCTGGATTCCTGTCAGCCGGGTCAATTAAAGATGCATCACTTTTGCGAACCTCTGCTGCTTTTTTGGGGTCGTTTGTAACTTTGATATGGTCAACGTTGCCGCCCGCCGCCTTGTAGCATTCAAATATGTTCTTTGCATTCTCCGCGGCCTGGGGGGTAACTGGAACATCCAGTGTGTCACCACTCCAATGTTCGCATTCGACACTGTTCTCCTTTATGTATTGTACGACTTCGGACCATGTCTGTTGTTCGTTTTGCAGAATCTGGAGGTCTACGTTAGCGTATGGAGGCATAGCCGGATAATTTGATAATTTGATACCTTCAGGGCCTGCTTAGTACCAAATTGTTTCTCATAGCCTATGAAGCCTCGCCACTGGTCAGGCTTGCAGTGACCAGCATTTCTACCAGTAGCACCGGAGCAGAATAGACGGGCCTCAATAACGACCACTTTCTTTTCGGGCCAGGTTTCCACGATGTTTTTGGCGATTATTGTCCCAGACATCTATTTCAACTCTTAGCAACCCTTCCACATTTCACAGGAACATCGGAAGATACTCACGCCAGATCCTATGATCACTATATCTGCAGACGCAGGCAACTCTGGTGTTGTTCGATGATCCAGAAGAGGATCGCCCTGCACCGATTGTAGCCAGTGCGAAATGGAATAGTTGGTCCGTTTCGGAAAACCAAAGTTTTCGAATGCATCTTGTCCCATTTTGTCGGTTATCTGAAGAAAGTAAACGAACAACCCAATGCAGATCCGAACGGTATCCAGTAGATGTGAGCGATGAATTTTTGGAGATTCGAAATAAATTTATACGTGTCCGCTTCCCCCCGCTCTCCCCCCACCTGTCTCCTGTCTCGCCATTGAACTGACACATGGCGCGTTAGCATTCCGAGTCAAGCGATAAGCCGCCTTGTCTTGCTCGGAAAGTTACATCTGACTACATACAGAAAGGTTGAGTTGGTGGGCCCTCATTCGCCACTCCGCATTTTGTTCTCTGCGATAACTGGGACTTTCCACCACTTTTTCGCTCCACGGCTATCTTAATTCACTTAATCGACTTCTCCAGTGGGGTGAACCGGGACTTTGCGCCAATTAAAAGAAGAAGCCCTGGTTTTTGCTCCACGGCCATCTTAGTTCACACGTTTAACCCTGCCACTCCCGGAACATTCCACCAATTGGACTGGTTTATAGCACTCCACTTCAAACAGATAAGGCTTTTTGTGATAACCTCACAAATGAGTAATTGAGTAATGTAGATTCTATCTGCTAATAGAAGCTCTGCTCTCTGGCCTCATTCATGGCCACTGTCCGACACCCGACTTCTTATATTCCAAGAATGCCCAACTTTTGATTCTGGCAAACATATGTGCACCCTTCAGACCTCACAACTCATCTAGTTCTGCGGTCTATCATCTTCGATCTCAATATGTCTTCGACGCTTCCGAATAGCGGTACTGGCAACAATTCCATGTGGCCTCCCGGTACATTACACCTTGCAGATGCAACTGCATCCGATGGAAAAACTATTATTCTACAACCACGACCATCCGACGATCCCAACGATCCCCTCAATTGGGCCCCATGGCGGAAATGTTTGAACATGGGACTAGTCTGCTTCTATGTTGCTATGGTCGCCGAGTTCATCAACGCCAATACACCAACATGGGGACCCATGGAGACAGAGCTCGGTTTCACCAGCGAGATATTAAATGACAGCTATGCTGCTGGCTGTGCTGCTTTGGGAGTCGGCTCTGTCATTCTGATTCCATTTGCGCTCAAGTTTGGACGTCGACCCTTGTATCTGTTCAGCACGATCGTTCAATTCGGAGTCTGCATTTGGTCTGCTAAGATGCAAACTGTGGGAGACCTCATGGCGATCAACGTCATACAATGCTTCTTCGGGAGTCTGGCAGAGGTCATCGTGCAAATGACCATTGCGGATCTTTTCTTCGTGCACCAACGAGGAAGAATGAATGCCCTCTATGTCTGGACGTGGCTTCTCTCTAGCTACCTGGGTATTCTGATTGCCGGGTTTGTTGCCAGTGGTCTGGGTTGGAGGTGGATCTGGTGGCTGAATACTATCATCTTCGGTGTGACAATGTTTGTTGTCGGTTTCGGATACGAAGAGACCAAGTATTGCCCGCCGGCTTCTCCCGCCACTCCAGATGTGCAGTTGGATACCACGAATGAAGACCGGTCCATTGCACCGAACCCTCAAGAAGAAGACCGCAACAAAGACGATTTGGAGAAGCTTTCGTCCGCCAGAATGAAGGAAATATATGCGGAACAAGGATTCGCAGATCTCGGCTCAATCAAAGCAGATGAAACCAACATCACTGCTGTCACAATCAACCCGAATATTCCCATGAAGACGTATTGGCAAAGACTCGCTTTAACAACCACCACTTCTTCATCCAATACCAAGAACGAGTCCTTCTTTCGACATATGTATCAACCTCTCATTATTCTCACGACTATTCCAGCCATCGCATGGACAGCACTTGTTTATGGCATCTTGGTGGCTCTGGGAGATGTCATGTCAACTACTATGTCGGCCTACCTGCCCAAGGCTCCCTATAACTTCTCTTCCTACGAGGTTGGCCTCATGAGCCTACCGAGAATGATTGGCGTCTCTATCGGTGCGCTCATTGTTGGCCCACTGAGTGATTGGTGGATTCTATTTCTCTCTCGCCGGCGAAACGGCATTTTTGACCCCGAGATGCGTCTCTGGTGTATGATTCCCTTTCTCCCATTTATCATCGCAGGCGCACTTCTCTTTGCTATCGGGCTGAATGACAACCGGCCATGGCCTGTCATTGCCGTCGGGCTGGCATTATATAACATCGGTGTCACCCCTATCAACACTCTCACCATCACCTACTTGACTGACTCGTACAAAGATGTAAGTCCATTCTGAACCCATGATTCTTTCAGAGCATATTCTAACACCAATCCAGATAGTTGGAGATGCACTAGTGGGTGTTACACTCACGCGTAATACTTTCAGCACGGCATTTATCTTCGCGTTATCACCATGGGTGGCGAGGGTTGGTCTCAAAAATACCTTCATCACTATTTTGGTGATTGCAATCGCTATCCTGATGGTTTTCGTTGTCTTCCTTCGATATGGAAAGGCATTCCGACGCATTGTTGCTCCTCAATATGTTCGTTATGCGGCTCGGCAGTATAAAGAGAGAGATTAGCTTTATGTGATTGCATGTGAAACATGATCGGGAAGCTCATTGCGATGATGGCCCGCACCCAGATACCATTTCCGGGTCATCTTGTTTTCGCTTCGGCTTTGTATCTACATCCTAGTATCAATTAATTGGTAAAGCTAAATATCATTTCACGACTTACGGGCTCTGCGGCTATTATCCATGAGTATATATCACCCTATATGACTGTCTGTAAGGAGATATGAAATGTTAGAATGAAATTTGTTAAAGCTTTCGTGACCAAATCAGAATGACCAGTGCCTCCGTAATTATCATCTATGATATCCTTCTTGCCATCAAACATCAAGCTTGAACAAAACAAAAACAAAAACATACAACAGCATGTCTAAGGTGGTAAACTGGCTGCACAATGAAGTCAAACGTTAACTCGGTTATCCTGCCGACATTGGGTGTAAGCCGAGGAATCCATGGTACTATAGTGCTATGGTGCCATGTTAAAGTATTGAGATCCGACTCTTTTGGGCATGTAATCACTACATATTGAAGAGACAGTCTGGCCTAGCAGATAAGACGAGAGCGATATGATAATACCAACCATCCAGGACGGTCAGCTAGTAAGTATAGGGATCATATAGAGTCTATAGTAAAATAGTCCGTCTCTATCTGGTTACCGGTCCTATTAACCTATATAGTGGAGTAGGTAAGGATAGTCGTACGTCCCCTGGTAGACTTAATTGATCCAGTCTACCGAGTGTCTTCTGACATCCTCCGCCATCTATATAAAAGGGTTGATTCGGTGGACAAACCTATTAGCAAGCTTATTATTAGGACCTGCAGCGGTACGTTGTTCTAGGTTGATCCACCAAGTGGTAAGGTGATGATGCATCCCTGGTAAAATTGTGGTATAGTTATTTTCGTCTCCGTTATCCAGAGAAATAGATCCCTGGATAGATCCGCCCCTTCTAGTCTAGATAAGATCCTTCACATTCATATTAATATACCGTAAGTATGTTCTTTCTCTGGGCATTAATTATATCAGCCCCGATCACGCCTGGAGACTGATTTTATTCCCTTACTATATAAAAAGTATAATGCCCAGAGAAAGAACATAATTCCGACATATTATCATGAATGTGAAGGATCTTATCTAGACTAGGAGGCGGATCTATCCTCCAGGGATACATCATCACCTTACCACTTGGTGGATCAACCTAGAATAACGTACCGCTGCAGGTCCCACTAATGATAAGCTTACTGAGGGGTTTTTCCACCGAATCGATCCTTCCATATAGACAATGGAGGATGCCGGAAGATACCAGATAGACTGGACGGGGATAGCAGGGATACCGACAGCCCTGCCTGCGAAACAGGTGTGAGAGTAGAGTCGTCACTGGGAGTGGGGTGCCAGAGGAGAACACCATAGGGTGACCACTCCTCGTGCAGAAATAACGGGATCGGAAATGCTTCGGAAGTATCCGCATTATCAATTTTTTTTTTTTTCACTGAAGACCGTAAACACTTGACACGCCAGGTATTTTTCAACTAGATTCGCCGGGAACGAATCGTGGGCGACATACTTCAGATCCACGGAGGTTGTCAATAAGTGGGAAAGGAGAAATGAAACCCAGGGTCTATATGCCTCAGGAAACAAAGAAGGTGCAAAGCCACGCTTGCAAAGGGAAAGTAAAATACGGAGTACATGGAAACTAATTTTGTTTTCTTTGTCGTGAATCACTACCGATATCTCCCCGATTCTTTGTTCTATCCTCACACACGGACGTAGATATCCTTTCAGGAAGGAGGGTACCAATATAGGGACGATGTATTTCGGGCGATTGAGCTCGGTGCTACGTTCAACTTTGGCCACAGGTACCGAAGGTGCCTGCGTTGCTGTTGTGACAGTCACGTGCCGATCACATGCTGATGCCTGGTTTGTCAGGCTTCACATAGCTCTTTAACTAATCAAATAAAGACGAGAAGCATTAGTTGTTAACTTAGTTAGTTAGCTAGATCTTTAGAGAATCTATCCTTCTTCTCTTCTCTCCCTTCGCCCCCAAAGCCTATCTATGCCTCAGGGGTGCTTTTATATCATATGGCCGCTTAGCCATCCTATAGGAATCCCCCACTGTAATATGTAGTTTCCTAACCTTGCTCCTCAGCTAGCGGCTGGGTCACAGGGCAGATTGTACGCGTATGGTGGCATGGCCTATATACCCGGGCATGCTCCACGACCTTCGGAATAGCAGCCTATTCCGAACCGGCATGCCAACTCTGCATGAGGGGGAAATAACACTCGAGATAAAACATTTAAAGACGAACAAATCCATTCAATTACTCGTTCGTTCGCTGAGTGCACTTATCGTGGTACCAAAAAATCCTCGAATCTCCTCATCATGGCCGTCTCCGCCCTCGACTCTCGCATTTTCCGCAACTTATTCGGAACACAAGAAATCCGTGACATATTTACAGATGAGGCATATGTCAAGTCTCTAATCGAAGTTGAAGCCGCTTTGGCGCGCGCAGAAGCAACAGTTGGTGTGATTCCCGCCCACGCAGGAAAGGGAATTACCGAGGCTTTGGCAAGACTTCAGATTGAGCACGTCGCAATCACATGTATCCCCGCAACCACAGAATAACCACTCATCGCGCTTCGTTGTAGCTATGAGCGCCTGGCAGTCGAAACGGATATTGTTGGGTATCCTGTTCTACCATTGGTTCGGCAATTGGTCGAAGGTACGCCCGACGAGATGGCAAAGTATATCCACTGGGGAGCGACCACACAAGATATCCAAGACGATGCTTCCATGCTTCAGATTAAGCGCGGTGTCAGTCTGGTAAAAAGAGAGCTCGAGATACTGAAGGGGGTTCTGAAGGGTCTTGCAGCTACCCATCGTGACACGTGAGTTCTCCTTCCTCACTTTCAAGACATGAACTGATTGTAAATTCAGTCCAATGGCAGGCCGGACGCATTTACAGCATGCTTTACCTTGCACGTTCGGATACAAATGTGCAGTATACCTCTCTAGCATTCTCCGACACCTGGAACGTATCGAGGAGACCGAGCAGCGGTGTCTTCTTGTCCAGTTCGGCGGTGCTGCGGGCACAATCGCTGCATTGGGCGCAGATGATACAGGGCTCCGGGTTCGTGAACAGCTTGCCGTTGAGCTTGGGCTGAAGAATCCAGATATCACTTGGCATGTTGCGCGGGACAACATAGCGGAGATCCTCAACTTCCTGGCTCTGGTGGGTGGCACATTGGGGAAGATTGCATTGGACGTGATGATCATGTCTTCCAATAAGTTCGACGAGGTCTCGGAGCCCTTCGTCCCTCACAGAGGTGCTTCGTCCACGATGCCACAGAAGCGTAATCCTATCTCCAGTGAGGTGATTCTGGCTGCGTCGAAGATGCTGCGTGCCAATGCGTCTCTAGGATTAGATGCAATGGTTACCGACTTTGAGCGTGCCTCTGGACCGTGGCACTTGGAATGGGTGGCTATTCCTGATGCTTTCGTGACTGCGGTGGGTGCTTTGCACCAGACGAATTTCGCTCTCGGGGGATTGGTGGTTAAGGTTGACTCGATGAAACGCAATCTGTACTCCACCAAGGGGTTGATTGTCGGTGAGGCTGTGATGATGGGACTGGCACCGCATTTGGGGCGACAAGGCGCTCATGACCTCGTTTATGAGGCTTGCAAGTCTGCTATCGAACAAAATCGGAGTCTGCTTGAGGTTCTTGAGGAGATTCCTTCTTTGGCTGGAATTGCGACGCCGGAAGAGTTAGCTGCTCTCTGCGATCCGCTGAAATATATGGGAGCTAGCCAGTTGATGGTTGATAGTATGGTGAGAAGGAAAAATGGTTCAAATGAAGTCCTTTCCAAGGTTCCTTATCAGTAGAATGATTTCGAGTATGATTAGTACCAGTCAGACCCTCTCCTATTAGGGATCTCGACGGCCTAAGGCCTCCAGATAGTCGTTGTAGAGCGAAGCTACTGGTTCCAACTTCTAATGCTACGCAAAGCCCCTCTTACTGGCTTATTCTCCCCCATGCCTGTAATTTCAGTACCGCCTTCACAATTAGGCATATTTCCTACTATGGTAGTAGTAAGACAGCAGGTACCTACAATTTGTATGTAAAATACCAATAAAATTAAGTCCCTTTTATCATATCATTATTAACTGCTTAATTAACTGCTCTATCGTCAATTACTTTAGAAACTACTTAAGTGACTACTTAAGCAACTGCTTGAGAAACTGCTTGAGAAACTGCTTGAGAAACTGGTTAAGTAACCGTTTGAGTAACTAACTAACTAACCACTTAAGCAATCGCTTAATGACCGCTTGAGTAACTGCTTTAGTGACTAGCCTAACCTAGGTAACTAGATACCTTGCTTATTAAGCCCGCTGTCCTGCCCAGGTGGTAATTCAGGTATTCTTATTGCTGCCAGTCTACTAGAATGCGCTCCGCAAAATAAAGACTTGAATCAAATTGTCCATTTAGTTCGTAGCACTCGTAACTAGAAGATTCTATAAAACCATAAAGGCGGCTGTAAACATTGCTGCGATCAATGTCATGAAGCCCTGCGCACCAGCCGACTCCTTGGTTAAGAGTCCGCTAGCCGCTCCAGTTTGATTCGCTGACGCGTTGACAGCAGTTGGAGTATCCCCCAGTCCAAATGGCAATCCCTGGTAGCTGAACGTCAGGTTCTGTGCAACCGACTGATTGTAACAGTGTCCATTTGCGATATCCAAGTTGGTGAGGTCATCCGCGTTCACGAAGAACATATACTTTGACTGTTTGAGGCCCTTGAAACCGGACGTGTCGTAGGGGAACTTGTCGCCCGAATCGGTTGCCGAAGTGTTGCGAAGGAAGATACATTGGACTTGTGACGGGAATTCGGTGGCCAGTTTCGGGTAATCGCGCATGACATCGCTGTTGCTGGTGTCTGCGACCAGGACGAACTTGCGCTCCGGGAAGGTTTCGAAAATCTTTTGCAATAAGAACATGCGGATCGACAGAGTGGCAGACACATCGCTGAAGTTGAGAGGACGGGTGTCGAAGGAGCCGCCGGGGTAGGTGGTGTAGATGAACTGCATGTAGTTTCTGGTAACTTGCTCGGGGGTGGTGGTCTGGAATGACTATTAGTATCTTTATTAAGAAAAGGGGAGCCAGAGGAGCCTTACAAGATAGTGGAAATGCGTATCGGGGAGGCTGATGGACCAGTTGCGGTAAATATCCGGCATGTTCTGCCAAGCCGTGAATGGACGGGCGAACGAATTGAGTAATCCTTGCGCCGGTTCGTAAATCTTAGTGACACGCAGAATATCGTCAATGTCAGAAATCACGGTGAGTCCGGTTGGAGGCACAAGATAGGCGGTAGCATTTCCGATACTTGCGCCCTCGACATGAGTGTCCAGTCTCTGGATTGCCGAGGTTTCATTTCCCGCAGTAAGACCATTGCTTTCAATCTGCACAAAGGTGTCGAAGTCACCTTCGGCTGTTGTGTTGTAAGGTAGGGTGATGTCTTGTGTACCGCCTGATGTGTTGGATGATCCGCCGCCGCCTGGCTGTCCGCTGGATCCCTGACTAACCGCAGGCTTGATGTGGATCTTGTTCACCGCAACATGTGGCTGCTGCACGACAAAGATCTCGGCAGTCAGATTTCGTGCCTGGACCTGCTGGGATTGAGGAAGGTCCGCGATTTTAGTGTTGACGAGGAAGATATCGGCTAAATCGTTCAACTTGGAGACAGATGTGTTCGGCTGCTTATAAACGTTTCCGTGGAAGCGAACGTTCCAGCCCGACTTGGTCCAGTTCGCATAAGGGTCGATGTTCAACACATTGGTTGGTAATGCCGCCAAGTCTGAGCTGTCCAATCCGAGGGAGCTCGCAACTGCGTCTTTAGTCGGGAACCCCTGGAAGAAGTTGGGCACTCCAGATGCGACCCATGTAGGTAGATCAGACCCAAGCCCCGAAAGGACATTTTTGATATCAGAATCAACGTCGCTCAAGATGTTTCGGCCAACAATGGGAGAAGGGATATGCTCGACCGGGGAAGGTGTAACGACGGGATCGGGTGGAGCGACATTGGCGAAAGCAGTTGGAGCCGGGGAGGCGGAGGTAACTGAGAGAAGTGAGGCCTGTACGAGGGCATGTGCCAGAATGTACCTCATTGTATAGATTATAAAAGGTAGGACAATTCTAGATCACTAAATAAACCACTCAACCGTCGGCAGAAACGACCTGGGGGTGTTTATATAATAGCAGGAAAAGGCTCGGAAATTAAATGCTGCGCCATTCGATCTATTTAAACCCCTAAAATGGCGTTCGACGCCCTTGAAAAAGGAAATTAACAAGGAATATCCATTGACGTCACTGTGGAGCTTCACAATCTTAGGGGTCCACGGTCCCTTCGGTGCTTATTATTGTTCCTGGCATAGACTTTCGATTCTTAATTCCTCTATTAACTCCATACTTTGTATACTTGAGCAATCTAGAGATCTTGATTCAAGCTCTAACGATGGTTTTCGCAAAAGTGGACAAGTTCAAAGAAATCAGCGATGGAGGAATTCCTATTGGATAAACTAGAGCGGCGTCTGACTTAGAGTGGGCGGACTTTTGCACGGCATCCACCTGTCTCAGGCTTCAGCTGCCACCAGATGTGCCCTAAATAGTTGGGCACACCGCTTTGGACTACTTCAGCTAGCCCCATGTTCGTTTTTCTTGTCCAAGGCGTGTCATGGCTGTATATATAATAGTCCAACAAGGGGAATTTCTAACGCTTGTATAGCGGTGCGCAAGTAACCTCCAATAGCATGATATATAGTAAGAGATGATGCTCTCGGCGTTATGTCATGGAAGTGTCCTCAGAACGCAGATACTCTATTTCAAGGTTGAGATGGGCTAGCCTACATAGAGCATATGAATATCGCCCGGACCTTTTCAGCGAAGAGCACGCTCATATCCAAAAATTCTGTCGGAGATCCCAAGTTGCTGCTTGAGAAGGGCTGAACTGCTCTTCACGCGACACAAAGTAGAAGTCTGCTCGTGGTGTCTACTACGTCTTCGCGTTTTAGTTCTCTTCCTTGCTCTCGCTACAATATGTTGCCCGGCTTCTCCTATTCTGTTCTCAAACACTTATACGTAGATAGCCTTATCTACGGGCGTCTCCAGAAGCCGATGCATTTCTTGCCTCGACTGCGGAAGCGCGTATGCTAGCCGATGGTTTTTTTTTAAAGAGGGTTTACTCACATATATTAGGGGAGTCTGGGAGTCTATGTGAGGAAGAATATGCTTTTCATTTACTATCTAAACCTCCTTGCTCTTCTTCCAATCCCGGTGCTGGACAACTGTCAGGGCGACAACAAGAAAGCCAAACACCCGCATCTCTTCCGCAGAATAGATGCTGAAAAGTCCCAATATCTCCATTTTGAGAAATGCATTCTTATCAAGGGGGTTCCTTGAGCGCTCGCCTGTTATCAAGTACTTAATGTACTCTTCACGGAGATCAGCGACGATAAATATACGCTTGTCGCGTATTGGTCTAACATCACCCATCTATAGGCAACTGATTAGCGATGTTTCTTAAGCATTAGTATAATGATCATGATCAAACCTACCACTTGAGTGGTGAGTCGCTCAGTGGGACTCTTGGTCCCTCTGACCCTTCAATGCCCAGGGTTTCAGCAATCCATGCCAGCATTTCAAGCCCCTGTTGCATCAGGACTTCTCTTGACGAAGTCAATACCAGATGCCTAGCCTTGACTTCAAGTAAGACCTGTATTTCACCATCGGGATCTACCAGATCATCGTTGCCAATTGCTTTGTATTCAGCCGGCTCGAAGTGTATCAAATGTGAAAGATTGGTGATCTCAATAGACTCTATCGTGATGAATATCTCGAGACCTAAAATCGTGGTTAATGATCGTTTCAAATCATTGTTGGTTCCGTAGATCTTGACCTGCAAGAGCTCGTGGTACGTAGCGCAGCGAGCCACTTATCCCGTATCGCCAGGAGATCATCTGTCCTATACAGAGTATCGTCATTAGTATTGTAAAACTCCGTAGTCAAAAGAGACTGATAATAGACACTGCACTTACAGTTGGGTTTTCTTTCATTTACCCGATTCATGAACCCTCAAATGGGTACGGGTCCAAGCCTCCACCAGAAGACTTGCCGTAAAAAGATGATAGGATTGTAGGAGGAAGTTGAAGAGTCATCCTGAGTTGATCATTTGGTGAAACCCATGTGATGAGTATCTGAGATGGCAGAGAGATAGAGAAGAGGAAAAAGTAAATAAGGGATTCTCTTAACTGAAGAGGCCCCGGAAGCCGATGCTACCCGGTGAATCGTGATAGCCTCACCGATATGCAATTGAGATGATGCTGGCTGGATACTGTCCCACTTCAACTCGATCGGCAGTAATAATCAGATTGTGTACAGCAAATTGACGAAGCTCATATTTATCTTCGCTTCATGAGTTCGCCTCTTGGCTTCGGAATTGCCATGGGATGGGAAGAAGAGAAGGAGGTTGAAGGTGTCTGCGTTGCTATTTATGCCTCAGGGTAATTTTATAGTTAGGGGACTGTTAAAGGGACCCCCCCCCCCCAACTGCCTGATTCAGCATACCGCCCTCCACACCGGCTTAGTATTGAACTCCCTACCAACTTGAAGACGGTAGATACCCACAATTTGTATATAAACCACCAACAAAATCAAGTCACTTTTATCACATCAACTACTTGAACAACTACTTCAAAAACTGCTCCATCATCATTAAGGGATTGAAACATGTAGGTATGAGATAAAATACACGTCTTTTATGATCAAAATGTAGGGGTTTTTTGACTACGGAGTATGTAAAGTAGAATTCAAAGGTGTAGAATTAAGCCAGAGCGGGTGTAACAATCCCCTAAATTTATCATGGTCATTTTCATTCTCCGTTCCCTTTCTATTCTGTTCATGTCAAGTTTGCCCTGCAACGGTATCCTCCTGCCGATGCTATTTTCTATGACGCCATACGCTCAACACGAAGCTGAAGTTCCTTGACCATATCAACCCCAGCTCGAGTAGCCTCATCCAGGCTCTCCTCCGGCAGACCAAGCAGCTCATTCTGTGCCTTGGCCGAGCAATCACCCGGATCGTCTGGGGAAAATGCCCTTGCGTAAAGCAGCTTACCAAAGCCAGCCATGTTACCAGTCTTGACCATCGCCAGTCCATCTGCGTATCGCTTCTTACTATCCTCATGAGTGATAGTCCAGTCAGCGTCACTAGTGCCTGTGACGCGCTTGACGCTCTCAAACATCTCGGTTTGGTTGATCACGAAGCTCTTAATATACACAGGGTTATTAAGCCATCGCGACACAGTAAGGCTCTTGTCGTTTTGGTCCTCAGGAAGCACCTTGAAACTCAGCACTTTGGCCACAGCGCGCCCAACCTGCGACAAGGTCGATACCGAGTTCTTGGTGGTGCCGTCATCATAGATCGTCAGAGACCGCTTGTCAAAGTCGAACCCGAAGCGCGCCTCACCGCCCGCTAAGCTGTAATCGTACCAGAACCCACAGCACACGGTGATCCACTGCATACCGAGGCTCTCAATCTCGTCCCTGGCAGCCTGAGCAACGGGACCGAGCATGATATCCTCTCCGAGTTTAGTGTGTTCAATGTCGCCAGCGTACCCGTTAGGCATGATGTAGGGAACACCAGCCTTGGCGGCCGCCTGGACGAGCTTGCTGTGGGTGTCGCGGGGCGCAGTGGGGGATACTGTGATGATGAAGAATTGTTGGCCCTTGAGGGCAGCGACAATAGTGGCCTCATCGGAATAGTCAACTGGGGCGACGAGGACGCCTTCGGGGAGTTTGTTGCTACTGTCTCTGCGGGAGAGGGCCGTAACAGTGTGTTTTCCGGTTTTAAGGAGAGCGGCAACGAGGTAGGATCCAACAGTGCCTCCGGCCTAAGGACGTTTGTTAATTGTTGTGCATGGCTGCTGCTGGAGGGATACACCTACACCGACAATGGCGACTCTCTCAATGGCATTTTTGAAGCCGGCTGGCTGGTTCTTGGCGTACTCAGGCATTTCGGCTCTTGTTGAAAATTTTCTTTTGAATTGGGGATTCAATGTGTATCGATTGTTGTGATTGTGGTCAAGAGTGGTGTCCGAAGTATGGTAGCTCTTGTAGCTGTTGCCGTTTGAGCTCCTGGGTGTCTGGCAAATCTTCCATGGAGCAGAGAATACCTGTCCATTTATACACTTCAGACCCAGTATCGAAATCGCCGCAGAGCCAAACTTTGTCGCCATTCTCTCCATGTCAGCCTAGTTACACCGATCGGATTGGACAATTCCGAAACGCTAATTCCGCACAGCTATTTATGCTCCGGGCAGCTCGCATATCGGGATTGATGTGGCCAGACCTTCGAACTTGATTCGCGCAGAGATACTTGCGCCCCCGAACCCGTAGGCCAGATCAACCCACTATGAGTCGGGCAACACGCGCATGACCGTCACCGTCGCAGCTGCACTGTGGTGAGTTCTGGGCCGCTCCGGAATAGCCGCGGCAACTGCGGCGATTAGCGCCAAAGGTACTTGTTAAAATGCCAAGCCCCATAATGAGGGAGATACCGTCGGGGTTAAGGATGGTCATCCCGCACATCTCCGCCGCAGCAGCCGCACATTGGGGGCCATAGTTAGACCCACTCCGCTCCGGGCCAACATTGAAGCCGCGTTGAGTCCACTCCCGACTAACAGACCTCCGTGCATACCTACGGCCTAGATGATCCAGTTGACCACGATGTGGAGAAAGAGGTGTTTTATTGATTTGTGCAGGGGCTTAGCCTCTAGCCTCACGGAGCACGAATCGAATAAATATACTCCGTAATAGCTCGTTGGCATATGGTCCAAAGCACAAAGTCGACAGTTTGCCGGCATAGTCGAAGGGCAGGTCAATAATAAAGGGAAGGATGTCCTACAAGGATACCGCGGCGCATTGTACATGGGTGTCGGTCTCTCTGGCTTGGGTGTAGCTGTGGCTCTGCTTTTCTGTTTTGTGGAGCGGCATGAGTCCAAGACTCCAGAAGAGGTGGAGGAGGAAAAGAGCGAAACGCAGGAAGAATTTGTTTAGATGTCTTCAATGGCAATTTTACATAAATGCAACACTGAATTTCATCCTAGAGCATTATAGAGTGCCACGCCATGGTCTAATGAGTTGAATCGCCGCTGAGTGGATTATTTTACAACGCCCCTTCGCGCTACTACAGCTGGATATCGGGACCGAAAATGGATAGATATGGCTCGATGAGAAGCTGATCCCAGTCCATACCCCAGCCAATGTCCGTAAAAGCAGCGTTGGCATCGGGTTCCGGCTGCGCCTGGAAGGGTTCGTAGCCCGACTCCACAGCTTCAAGCTGCAGAAGCTCCTTCCGCTTCTTTGCTATATGGAGACCGAGAAGATGCCGCGCTATTGACAATGCCTGACGGGTCGATCCTGTGTCTGTTGCCCTGGCAAGATTCTCCAATCCTTTGAACGCAGCAGGGATGTGAGCGGAGGAGGCCGGCGTGTCGATGGCCAACAAGACACAGACATACTGGAAGACACTGCCTATGACGTTCCACAATAGACGGCCCTGGTTGGCTAGCTGCTCAGCCGCTCTCACTGCGTCGTTCCCGCTATCAATGACGTGTTGAATTATCTCGTCCGTCACGCCTGTCTTGAGCTGATAAATGCGTCGATAGAAACAAAACGCAAGGTCCGCCTTCGTCACCACCAGGAACGCATGAGTGAAACAAAGTTTACTCAATGCCGTGAGACGCTGAAACAACTCCTCCCTCGGAGTTGGAGGCTGACTTTCGAGCTGGAACGGCGAGTTAGGCGACGGGATGATCTGGACTATTTGCACGAACTGGTCGGCAACGGACCCCGGAATGGAGATGATGGGCTGACAAGTCACGGTCCCAAATGTTACAGCCGAACGATCGTACTCATACGACAGCATATGATGTGCGGCCCATGAGATCCAGAAAATTCGCCTTAGCCGGTCGGCATCATGCCCAACAACAGCAGCACCGGCAGCAGACGCCATCCTTTTAATATTCTCTTCTTTGTGTAACCCGACCACTTCACACAGGTGCATAAGAGTGCACGACGCGACCCAGGCATTACTAGGGCGGGCTGTGGCCCGTAGATAAAATAACCGCATGCTCCACGCGACGATATGGTCGATGCTTACCATGCGTATAGATCCAGGATCATCGAGAATAGCTTTAGCGTACTGCAGTAGCTCAGACTCCCCTGGGTATCTGGTTGTGGAGAGGAACGACCCGCAAGCAGCAACGCCAGCGGCTACAGCGCTGAAGGCGACCGCGTTGCTGCCGGAGCTACGATAATAATCGTGACATCGCTGGGCATAAATTCTTGGGTCCAAGCAGTCGCCGATAGGGCCCATTGCAGAGAAGTACACATTTGAGTAGAAGGCGAGGTTGTCTTCTGAAATTAGTTTCCCTAGGAAGCCATACGCGTTGGAAGCCTCTTCAGGGCGGATCCCAAAGTTGTACGCGAACGAGTTGATCTTTGGAGGGCTGTCGGCGCCAAAAGCCACCCCCAGGATGTGCGGGAATGCCATGGCTGCCGATGCTCCAGTGTATCTGGACTTCTGCTCGTCGAAGATGCCGGCCCCGACGGCAGAACTCTTCGACGATGAACTGTCAGCTCCGGCAGCTCTCGCTCCATGGGATTGGCTGTCCGGGCTACGCGATTCGGCGGTGACACCGATCGCCATAGTACTCCCGCCGTCATTAATGATGCGCTTGGCCAGGAGTGGGGCATGGTCGTTTTCACCCGCAGTGCTGGTGGTGTCATCGTCGGCGTATCTGCAGTTATATTCGTAGGTGGTGCACGTGCCGCAAGGGTACTCCCCATTGCATTTTCGCTTGCGCTGGTGGCAAGGTATGCATGCCTTCCTTGCACGCTTGCGCTTGCCAATTATTGTGGACATGACTGTTATGTCATAATTTATCGCAAGGCAGATGGGCCCGGATATTGGCAAGAGCATAAAGCCTAAATTCTGCATAACTATCTTATTACGTAATCTTATGTAATATTTGCATAGGAAAGCTCAACTTTATGAAAGGTGGTGGAAATAACAGATGACTAATATATACCGGCTCGGAATAATCAGTTCCCCGGACTTGCTACCAATCAGGCTAGACCCGGTTATTGTTGATTTTCGCGATCGGGACGCGCCGCCCCGCTTGACAGAAAAATGGAAAGTCCAAACAAGGGAAACGACTTCAAGGTAAAGATTAATGAATTTGATTTGGGACTAGAAGCATGGCTGCCTATTAAGCATCAAATGAATATGAATATGAACATTAAATTTGGATACCTGACTTGTATTATGTACATATCCAAAACAAGGGCCGACCTTTACAAGGTCTATCGCGCCCTAGCAAATGCAACCGATTATAGTATAATTAATCCTCTGATCACAATATCTACGCCTCACAATGTTAAGTGGATGCAAAGCAGAAAAAAAGAAAAGAAAACGCCAGTCAAGGAGCAGCGGTCAAGGTTTCGCAAGTTGTTCCTTGCGATAGAAGAAGATGCAGAGCACATTGATGGATAGCATGAAGAGTAGGCAGACCCAGAAGTCTGCCTTTTCCAAGCCGGCTGCGACCCCAGCCGAGAAATCAGGGAAGACATTACCAGGGCCTAACTTATCCGGTGCTGTCGCGCGAGCGAGGATAGTCGCAATGGAACCGACCACCTGCGCGGCTAGAAGTGTGAAGGTGACATGGAATCGAGTCATTGTGACGAGGAGGATCATTCCAAACCCTGCATTGGCGTAAGTCAGTTTGTGTTACGTTTTAATCGCTGCGAGAGGAAACTTACCGACACCCTGAAGGGAATCCAAGACTCCTAGCCAGAGCCATAGTGCTCTACCAAGGATAGCTCCGGCTACGGGACCACCGGCCCAGGGGATGTATGTGGCTATGTTGGAGGTCGCCCACAGGATCTGGGCCCATCGAGGGGCACCAAGACCGACGGCAAAGATCGGGATAAACCAGGCGTGTCTCTTGGAAAAGACGTGAAAGACCCAGAGAGCTGCCGCCCAAACAAAGATGAAAAAGAGGAGGACAAGGAGCACGATATGCCACACCTGTGCATGTTTGCTGGACCAGAGATAGAGCCAGTTTCGTCCGTACGGTGCCGACAGCCAGTAGTTTGATATGAACACCATGTAGAAAAACCACTGCAAAATACAGCGTCAGAATCAAAATGAGCTTAAGGGAGGACTGGGAGAGACATACAAGAATGATGCGACGACGGAAGAGCGATAGGTAGAATGTCGGCACTTGACCTGGTGCTTGTCGGTAATATGTAGGAAGTCCAAAGAAGATCAGGGCTCCCAACAGCCACATAAAACAGGCGAGTCCGAGTCCGATTCCGAGCAAAGCGCCTGGATCGGTCATAGCAAGGCTGAATTGTGAGCTACCTTTTTGATTGAGAGTTGCCATCCAGCTTCCCCAGTACCAAAGGAAACTGATGAACAATTGCTGAGTGCCCTGGATGGCAGTGGCTCTATAAATCCAAGACCTCAGAGGCGCTCCACCTGGAAAAGAAAGTCAGACAAGTTCAATGTTTCCTAGAAGGGTCGGTGCATACCTTCGTCTCCAAAGTTGAGGGCGAAGAAAATCGAACCACTCGAAGACGCAAACGAATACAAGCCGACTCCCACATTTTGTAGCCATGTTTGACTTGTGCCGTTTTGGATGTGACCGGTAAGACCGACAAATAGAAAGGCGAGCCCGTATATCTGCGGCTAGTTAGCTTGCAACCCGTAAGCCGGATAGAGGAACTTGAACGTACAAGGAAAGGAATCGTCAACACGTAGACTGAGGGGACTAGACGGAAGACCATCCACCATATGATAGAAGAGGCAAGATAGATGGATGCCAGAATGTATAGCTTTTCGGCCGTCTCTCCAATCTCACCGTTCAGGAGTGTGATCTGGTACGAGTTCAAGGCGAGAATTTGGCCCTGAATAATACTGTCAATGGCTGTGATGAAAGTTCTTGATAGGGTTTCAACTTACAATAGCGAGGAAGATGGAGTACACAGGCCAATCACCCAGCTTCATCAACATGAAACGCTTCACACCCGTGGGGGGAACATAGTCATTTGGGAGAAGGAATTGCCCAGTATTGGGCCTTGCACCTGGACCATTAATTGGCGGAGTCTCTGCTCGACCGGTTTCATGAACCTTGAAGCGAAAGACAGAGGGAGCAGGAGATGGCAAGGGGGATTTGCCCAGCTTGACGTCACGGTATCGATTGAACCAGTCTTTTTCACTCTTCTCGAGAAACTCCTCGATGCAGAGCTGGTCTTCGGAGTTCTTGCCATTGAGGCCTGCAAGCTTCTTCTCAAACTTATCCGCGTACTCGTTATTCACATCCGTGAAAAATGGATCAACTTTCTGGAGATTGTAGTGTTGTTTCTCCTTTGTTATATCATCCACGCTGACCAGACTCATCATAGACGCCCTTGCGTCTCTTCTGCCAAGCATACCGTCTTCTGATCCTGCACTGAGAGCCGGTGTGCTAGCACCGGATCGGGCAAAATAAACGGTAGGTGTCCTAAATGGTGATAGACGATCATTGCCGTCCCCAGAAATGGGCTCGAGATCTTCTCCATCGCTTACCGAGGTGTAAACGACTCGCGAGTCTGTGAGATGGTTGGAGGACAAAGGTCTGCGTCTTGGGTCGGCGTCAGAATCGGGCTCGTTGTCGGACATGTTAAGACTGAAAGACGGAGTTGTCGGCGAGGGAACATAGTCAAGGCCTGGTCGAGGTCCAGACAATCTCATCTCAGTCGTAATCGGCCTACTCGGTGGGACAGACACGGTGGAGCCGCGTGATCGGCTCTGTTCGCGGCTGTTGTCTGAGCTCGGCGAGACTTTGGGAATGCTTTCTGGGACAAGAGTGCTGCCACAGGAAATTCTCCATGAACCACGATCGTGGCGCTTAGAGTACTTGGCGTGCTTTTTGATTGAGGTGGTTTGTAGCGTTTCCAGATCCTCAACCCACTGTGCTACGGGGAAACGCTGCTTGCCGGATCGTGCACGCATGAGAGCTCGTGTCTCCTGCGACGATTTCAGAGCGTCGTTGATGGCCATCTTGAACTGCTGAATAAGATGTTTGGTTGTCATAGACTCGCTAGAATGTGTTAGTTTGAACATATCGAGAGAGAGAAGGAAACTCACATTGTGAACCACCATCCTGGCATCTGCCCAAGGCCACCAACACTAAAAAAGAAACGTAAGTTAGCACTGGTGGTAGATTCAAACCAGGTTAGTCTTACCGTGATCCCACGCCCAAAGCTCCTTTCCGTCCGAATTCTACGGCCACCAAACCGAACGGTTCATCGCGCGAAGGAATCAAGGCAAATTCAGCGCCACTGAAAATGAAGGGCGGTAGTGCAGTGAACTCTGGTCTGGAAAAGACTCGTCCAGGATAGAGATCTATGAGTCGATTCAATTTCAACGCAGCAAATCTTCCATAGAGATCAATGACTGGACCAATGCACATCAACTGAACCTTTGGGTGAGCGTCTAGAATGGAGGGGAAGATGTCTGCAATCAGATCAACGCCCTTTTGCATAGACCAACGACCGACAAACACAAACAGCTCGGCCTCTGGGTCAACTTTGAGCCCTGCCCATTCTTGTGCTTGTTTCTTGAGTGCGGCACGACTGGCTTCAAACTCTGCGTCAACAATAACGTCTTCGGGGTTGTTGTTTGCGTTTTGATCCCACTCGGCGATGTCAGATGGATCGGGGTTTGGAAGCGCTCCGATGTTCTTGAGACCCCAGAAAATAGGATATCTTGCGTACGATCGCTTGCCATATTTCTTGGAGACACCGACAGCGCCGAATCCGTTCTGGTGGATTTTCAGATAGTTGGAAGCTCCATGTAGAAGGTTAAAAACCTCTCCGAATTGTACATACTTCTTCACCAATGCATGATCAAGATTATAGACACTGCAAACCTCTTGATTTTGCTGTGGGGTTTGCATCGGCCAGAGTCCTTGAAATTCGGCGTTATGCAGAGATAGGCAGCATGGGATTGTGCGAGGTAGAAGATAGAGAGGGGCAGCAGCACCATGGTAATCATTGATATGATAGAGGTCGATAGCCGGAAATCTTTTGATGGCCTCGGCAATACATTGATTCCAAGCAGAATAAAATATAGCCGAATCCAGGTCATCCATGCGGGCAGGGTACGGCTCTGATTTGGATTGAGCTCGGAACACAGGCGCATCTAATAAGACGTACGTGATGTTTTGCAGCTGGTGATACTGGACATCCACTTGGTAGTTATTCCCAAGAACGGTAATTACCATGGGCTCACGAGGGTCGTCCTTAGGGTAGTCAACCCCTCCAACACAGGGGACCACCCATATGAGGTCCTGATGAGTTAGATGTTTCCCCATCAGCTGAGCCATCACACCGAGCCCACCAATCTTGATCTTAATGCCCCAATCTTCAATATCGTATTCCATCGTTGCAATGAGCACGGTTCGTCGGCAGGTATTTACCGTAGCACCGACGACACCTCCACTTTCAGATGGGAAGGGGCCCACATTGGTGAGAGCAAGTCCAGGGTTCGGAGATCGATGAGCCACCTTTTGAAAGACGTTCACCAGTGGACTCACCAGTGGAGCGAAGCTTGATCTTTTCTCGGTCACACCGACTTGATTGAATTTGACCTGGTAAAAGGCCTTCAGATAAACAAAAACTGCGCCGACAGCGGTGGCAACAGGCACAATCGCTAGGATGATAAAGATGGCCAGCTGAGCCCACCTGGATCCTGTGGGCGTAGCGTAGACCCTAAGATCGCCGTCACCCACCGATAGCTTGAAGGAAAGATAGGGCGAAGGGGTGTGGAATGGTAACGTTGAACACATTACTCAGAAGCGTGACTGGAGGGACCTGATCCAGGACGTTGTCTCCGTCAATGTCCCCAAATACCTGCGTTTGATCGGGCAGGCCGTCTTCGTTTAATCCCCAGGCGTTGAATGCAACTTGCACGGGCCATTCAGCCATGAAGTGGATTTCCCACTGACCACTGACGTTGCTGAGAGCCATTTTGTTGGAATAGCCAGCGTCATATCCGAACTGGTTGAACTCGCCCTCGATGAAGAGGTTTGGGAAGCGACGTGGGGGCCTGTATGCCCATTGCGTGTCTCCATGTTGCCAGTGAGCGCTACTTCCGGTCAACTTGCTCCAGTATTGGGCAAGGATGTGTTCTCCTTCCCAGGCCTGCTTCGCAGTGCCGGTCCAGTTTTTGCCGGGGATCGAAGTGTTGAAGCCGGTGTATGTCATCCAGTTACTGAATGTAGCTCCAAAATCCAGCGAGTAACGCCACATGTCTGCACCAGGGGCCTGTGGCATTACCGATAAGGGCTCAGTCTCAGACGACGGGTTGTCGAACAGTAGCGTTCTACTGTAGTTGGCCAACTGTGGCCAGACCATCGGATTGTTTATCTGTCCGATGCGGAAAAGAAAGTGGTCGACGGACTGCCTCAATTAGTATTAAGACTTTCTTAATCTGTATAGCGAGGAATTTACTCACACCTGTGGATTGATTTCCATTTGCTGTAGTCACATTGCTAAGTGTGACTCTGTGAACCCCTGGGAAGACATTGCCCAAATCTACTTCGTAGCTGAAAACGCTAGTGAGTGCCCCGGGCCATGTCACAACATCAGTCTCTTTAATTTGTTTACAAGAGACCGAGGTCGTGTCAAGCTGTGGGCTCTCGTCGTTAAGCGCTTTGGACGTGATCGTCAGCGAGTTGGTGATATCCACGCAGTCCATCTCCTGAGAGAATTCGAAGCCAATTCGAACTGTATCCCCACTTTTTCCCTGGGGCACAAGCCGAGCGTCATGCCCTGGGGAGAAGCGGGTTACATATGGGGAAGGCTGCACGAAGTTATCCTTCGGGACAAAGGCTTTGAAACCCCAGGCCGGCATAGTAAGGTTGGGATAACACCCGTTGGGAACGTGAGACCCTTCAAATCTACTTATTGTCAGTAACAGCAATCAATCTCAGAATAGCAATCATACCCAAGCTTAGTCGAGCTGTTGGCCAGCGTCAATTCCTCAAACGGCGGGAAAAGATTTTTGACCCTTGTTCCCGCGGGAAATGGCGAGATCAAAGCATCCTTACTGCTGCAGTTGAATTTGTGTTCGACTGTTTTGTTGTCATTAGAATACACCAGCCAGACGCTCTGATTCCCCTGGCCTTGGCCATCGAAATTCTGCGCATCCGCAAAGCGCGATCTCATGACACTCCACATCCCAGTCTCGGTCGGTGTCCCACCACTACCTGGAAGGTAGATATCGAACGTCTGGTTGGACAATTGCTGAAGGTACCAGCCATCATTTAGAGTGGGATAGTTTTGACGCATCTCAAACATCATCTTGATTAGGCCTCGCACTGGGTGAGAAGGATCGCGGTGATCGAGACTGACGGAATCGTCTTTACATCCGGTCAGGGAGCGGTCTAGCGGGAAATCAACGTATTTCGATGATCCCAGTTTGTAGCATCCGTGTAGCTGCCATGCCTGAGCAGATGACATGGGTCCACGACCGAAGACATAGTTGTCAGCCTGGTTTTCCAGGACGTAGAAATCCTGTTCCTCGCCCCAGGAGAGGATGGGGATTCCGGGCATGAGCAACGAAGCGATGTAAAGACCCAGATTCTGCTTGTGGGTCCCGTTCTTTATCCCTGGCCACCTGAAGACATCCTGATTGGTGACACCAAACAGGTGACGAGGATCGAACTTACCGGTGTTCGTGTTGACCATATCGTTGGTCTCCACAAGACCATTCCAGGTATCCACAAAGTTGACAGGCGGGTCGCCTTCGGCAGTGAAGATGCCGTCCAGACTACACGGGACGATGTTAGCTTGAGTAAACTGAAAGTGGTGATAGGGAGAAACTAACCCTAGAAACCGGCTCAGACCACGATATAACGTGTAGTGGAACGCCGCCCCGTCCAATGCGGACCTCTCCGCAGGTCTCAAGAAGAGATCCTCATCTGACTTGCTTGTCTTGTTTGTCATCATAAAAGCTTCCGTCAGATTGGAGATGGTTTGATTTGTCTGGTGACCGCGACCGATATAAAGCGAGCCATAAGAGTTTCCCCCCACAATCTCTCCGGGGATGTAGAAATTGTCTTTTCCCACCTGCTTGGCGCAATCCCGCATAGACTCGGACCATTCTCCAAGAGAGTCAAGAGTAACTTGTAGAGCCTTGTCAACGCGGAATCCGTCGATATCAAGCATGGTGATGGTTAGACACGAGAAGTGTTTGATCTTGGCAAGCACGTCCGGCCGCCATCCGCGTAGACGATCCTGAACAAATGCGAATTTGGATATCTGTCCTTCCCATTCGGTGTAGTTTCCAAAGGCGGCAACTTCTCCATACTGTAGAGGTCAGCCATGTTCAATATCGAAAGAAAGGGAATGTTACCTGATCAAATTCACTATCCCGGCATGAAGGACCAAGGGTTGTGGTGGTCAAACCAGTCCCGTCGTCATTCCAGAACCGAGGATACTCCCAGGGACATTCACTCTCAACTTCATTTCCAGGCTGAAAGTCCCAGTATCGACGGTCATACTTCCATACAGGGTCGTACTCGTTGGGATTTATCGGCGCGGACTTGTTCAAAAAACCCTGGAAGCCGATAAGATCGCCCATTCTATGCACAATCAGCAGACGACATCGGAGGTTGCGCAGATAGATCTCACATACGTTGCAAAGGTATTATCAAAAAGAACATAAATCCCCCGTCGATGCGCCTCAGATATCATTGTGCGCCAATCTTCAATTGTACCAAAGTGGTGGTCCAGCAGGGTCAGGTCCAACGGGGAGTATCCATCCGAGGCCCAGGGAAAGTTGATATACGGTGTTCCAGCGAGGTAGACGCCCTGGATATGGTCAATATATTCTCCACATCCAATCTTCCGGAAGCAAAAAACGCACCTTTATCCCCATCCCCTGAAGATAATCAAACGTATCAACCAACCCAAGAACGTCGCCGCCATGGCGGAACTCGTTAGAGGTCAAGATGTGTTCCCACTGTGTGCCATTTGCATTATCGTTACTCGGATCGCCATTTACAAATCTGTCAAGAAATATCGTGTAGAACGGGAATCGCCAATTCTCTGGCGAGGGGTTGTATGTGTGGCCATCCCACTGACCCGAGTAGTCGAGGGGGTGTGTCGCTGTCTGATTTTGGTTGAGATTCCAGTCTGCTTCCTCTGGAAGATATGGCAGTGATTGTACAATGCGTATATATATTGCAACAATGGCAAGGTATTGAGTGATGGAAGTGAGCAGCCCCATTCCGCACAGCGAATGCCACTATGGTGATATTCACAGAACACGCTGTTCGAGCGACTGCAGTCAAAAAACCACAGGGTGCATACCAAGAAGAATGCGATAACTCATAGAAGGAAAGATAGTGAACGATTCATAGGGCACATATGCGCAAGAGAAGCATGTGAAAGATAATGAAAACTCCGGAGGTGTCCAGGCCAATGCAATAATTGATTCAATACTAATCAGCATAGACGCAGGAATTAGGCGAACCACTGGAGACCTGAACCAGCCTTGCTATACAGCCTCAATCCACAGTAAAGCATATCCATCCTCACGCTAAGCGATTGAGCGGTCATAACTCTGGACAATAGATCTCAAGCTGACATGCATCGGTATAGGATCTTCGGAGTGGTCCACAGCCCTGAACCCAATATACGAAGTGGGTCTTTGCTCAATAGCTTGCTTATGTGGAGAATGATATACGTGTTTGCTGCAAAGCTATACGAGTTTTCTAGACCAGTCGTGCCGAAGATCATAAAGTGTGTATTATGCCAGATCGGGTATCCCGCCTAATATATGATAGAACACGTCATACCTGATACAGGACTGACCTATAAGAAAGGGCGGATATGATGATAAGGTGGCTCATTGCTGTTGTCTCGTATTATTGTTTTTTTTTTGGCTTTCCTTCACGGCCACTCCGTCCCTCGGAAGCAATATGTGCCCGATGAGTTCGCGGGATTTTCAAGGATCAGCAAAGCTTGCCGATCGGGCCGACATAATACAGATCGTTAAGATATGTATTACACATACGGTACGATATACACGTACCTCACCGTAAATAATTTTCAGCCTATATGGCATTGTCAATAAATTTAAGTACATATGTAGCCTTTTCATTGTCTCTGAATCCATCCGTCATTTGATTCACCTTTGACCTGTCATGCAAACGCCACTGACAATGTGGTGGTGGAAGGTTGTGGTGGTCGCCGCCATTGGGACAGCACATGCGGCATCCCGAGACCAATGGCTCGGTCGGTCCGTCTACCAAGTGGTCACCGATCGCTTCGCTCGATCCGATAACTCAACCATCGCTCCTTGTGTTGCAGCCCTGGGAGAGTATTGTGGAGGGAGTTTGCAGGGCATCATCCATAAGCTGGATTACATTCAGGAACTCGGGTTCGATGCAGTCTGGATCTCTCCAGTGCAAAGCCAGGAGTCAACTCGCACGGCGGATCTCTCAGGTATGGTCATATTGACTGTGAACGAATATAGAGAACTAACGATTGATGGATGATAGCATACCATGGGTATTGGCCAAACGACCTTTATTCCATCAACTCCCATTTTGGCACTTCCGATGACCTCGAAGCGTTATCCGCGGCATTGCACGCGCGTGGCATGGTGAGTCGCCGGCTGCCATGTCTACTCACGAAACTGACATACAAAATAGTACTTGATGCTGGATATTATCGTTGGTGACATGGCCTGGGCTGGAAATGCCTCCACTATCGACTACAGCAAGTTCAATCCATTCAATGACCAGAAGTATTTCCACGACTACAAGCTACTTTCTGAGGACCCCGTAAACAGTACCTGTGTTCTGGATGTAAGTCTGTCATAGCATGTTATGAGAGCATTGCTAAGCATTTATCAGTGCTGGATGGGAGACACAACCATATCGCTTCCAGATCTGCGAAACGAGGATCAGGAAGTCCAGCAGATGCTGGGCACCTGGATTTCGCAGTTGGTTTCCAACTACTCCAGTATGTCTATGTGTCTCCTATGTCTCCAACGGATTTAATAACAATTATCCTTTGTAGTTGATGGCCTGCGAATCGACAGTGTCTTGAACATTCCCCCAGTCTTCTTCTCCAATTTCACCAAGTCGGCGGGTGTTTTTACTATGGGCGAAGGCGCCACAAGAGACGCGTCCGGTTACTGTTCTCTACAGCCCGGTCTAACCGGACTTTTGAATTATCCGTTGTGAGTATCTCATCAAAATGAACGGAGGGCGTGTTGACACTTTTAGGTATTATATCCTCACAGAGGCCTTCAACACGACCGACGGAGACCTGAACAGGATCATACAGTCTATAGATTACGTCAGGAAGCAGTGCGAGGACGTACTGCCCCTGGGAACTTTCACATCGAATCAGGATGTGGCTCGCTTTGGCTCGTATACTTCAGACATATCGGTAAGTCGAGTGCATCGGCTATTTTGTCAGCACGTATTGACTTTATCGCTCCCAATTAGCTTGCTCGCAACATTCTCACAATCAGCATGCTCGCTGACGGTATCCCCATCCGTATGTTGTGCCCCCTCAAACAGAAACGAAAGCCAAAGATACTAATAAAAGCAATACAGTCTACTACGGGGAGGAACAGCACCTGTCAGGTGGATTCAATCCTGTCAACCGGGAGGCCCTATGGCTTACCAAATACTCAATGCACTCGACCTCCCTACCTTCGCTAGTCCAATCGTTGAATCGCATTAGATCATATGCAAGCGGTGACGGAGAAAAGTCTACGGTCGCCCCGAAGTCAGGGGTCGACTATCTATCATACCTCTCATTGCCGATCTACAATTCAACAAACATTTTGGCCATGCGCAAGGGATTTGCCGGTAACCAGGTTGTGAGCGTCGTGTCCAACCTGGGAGCCAAGCCATCCCGCAAAGCTACCACGAAAATCACGCTTGGCTCTGACGGCACAGGATTTTCATCCGGACAGAATGTGAGCGAGCTCTTGTCTTGCAAAACATATGTGACCGATTCAAGCGGAAATCTCAATGTGGACCTCAGCTCGGATGGAGGGCCTCGGGTGTATTATCCTACTGAAAGCCTGAACCGAAGCAGCAATATTTGTGGAGATCACACCCGAACATCGACAACCTCCGCAGCAAGTCCAAAGGCTTCCACCGGCGCTGGGGTTTCATTATTCTGCTTGTCGTGGGAGATGATAGTCACGGTCGCATTGACCACCTCCTACGTTTCCATCTATCTCTAGACCGCCATTCCTACCGCTTTGATTATGTTTCCTGTCCGAATTAGTTTTTGATTTTGTTTGTTGACGTTGTTTGATGGTTTATGCAGTGGTTTTACGATAGACTAGATCCTCCATATAATTAATTCTATTGCTTTCATATTACCTCGTGAATTACCATGGAAAATAGGAGATGTGTTGAGTAGCTACTCCATAGAACCTTAGAATGGAGATAGTGGCCTGAGGCACCCACCCCTCATTCGGGCAACTTGCCCTAATTAGGAATCTCAACTCTACCTCTTCTCGTCTGGCTACGCACAGTAAGGTCCAACATAGAAACTCCGTACTTGGAGCTGAATTCCGACAATCGCTTTTGAACATTGGGCGCAACAGAGTAAGACGGCATACCTACCAATCTCATCTGGTGAATGTTACCAGTCATGACCGGTATTCATTCTCGGCTGTAAGTGACGATACAATACAACGAAAATAGATCTCCATTATGATAACCTCGATTTCCGAGCCCTGTCGGTATACTCCGTATCTGCTGCACCCCCAAACGCTAAATTAGCGCTGACATGCTGGTCGCCTAAGTTTAACCCTTTATTAGCAAGGACGATGCGTGCTGGAGACTTGATTGGAAAGATAAGGTGCAAAGCTTACTTGGATGGACCCTCAACACAACAGGACGGGTCGCTGGTGCAGTGATGATCCTAGCAATGCCCATTCGTTGTTACCCTACAATATACGTGGTCACCAGAATGACCCCTGAATTTTTCGGTGTCTCCACAAGAGGCTCAGCGCATGTTGATATCATATTCAGCTTCTATGCAAGGTTTGGACTACTATCTCGTATTCTCAATGCGCTGGGCTTCGGCTGAAAGTTACTGATTTCTGTATATAGATCTTCGAACAATCTAGTTCCTATATAGTCTTATCCTAAGAAATAGTGGACATTCCCTTCAGCTCGCCATCAAGCAATTCAGAAATTCCATTCAATCAAAATGCGCTACTCATTCATCATCACCGCTCTGAGCCTCCTCTCATCGGCTTTGGCCATCACCGTCACCGCTCCCTCGTCAGACTCGGTGTGGGATTTCTCCACTGCCAAAACTATCAAATTCACTAGCGGTTCTAGTGACCCTCCGGTAATCAGCATCATCCTGAGATCCAAGGATGGCTCCTTCCAGACCAAATTGGCGGATAACGTCAAGACCTCTGAGGGCGAATACACGACCCAGCCTAACCCTAGCATTTCTAATGGGTATGTAGATGATAGAGTGGGTGAGCAGAAGAACAACACTAATACCATTCTGTCATGTCTTAGAAATGACTACGAGATTCAGATAATTGATTCTGCGGGCCAGCTCGCCGTCAGTGACACCTTTACTGTCAAGAAGGGCGCTTCAGATGATGGTACTACATCCTTGTCTTCTTCCACCTCCTCTTCTTCTACTTCTTCTTCCACGTCGTCTTCCACGTCTTCTTCCACGTCGTCTTCCACGTCTTCTTCCACGTCGTCGTCTACGTCTACTTCCACGTCGTCGTCTACGTCTACTTCCACGTCTTCTTCTTCTACGCCTACTTCCACTTCTTCTTCCACTACCACCACCACCACCTCTTCTTCTTCCGCGACGACCACTTTTACATCCGTCACCCCCACCCTTACATCCTTAGTGTCTTCGACATCAACGTCGTCGACTGATCCTTCGTCTTCTTCAGGCATGATGCATCTCCGCACCATTTTACAAGGCGATCATACTAATACACCTTTTTCATCGCAGCCTCCACCACCTCCTCTTCCGACACTTCATCTACCAGTGCCTCCGCCTCCGCTGTACCCTCAACTGATGCTGCGTCGTCTCAGCTCAGCGGCCCCAAGGGAGCCATGGCTGTACTCGGCGCTGCTTTCGCGCTCATTTACGTCTAGATTATGTCCATCAGACAGTAATGTGTCTGAAGCGTGCACACAATCGCCTTTCGGAATAAGTAGAATCATATCTCATTGGTCTGTTGAATTGTCTTACTCTTGAAAGCTTATGTCGGTCTGGAACGAAAGCGTATTATAGACTAGTGAGACACAATCTAACTAGTTTGGGTGAAAAAGTATAATTGTAAGATCAGTAACTAAAAAGCTTATCGTGTTTGAAAATACCGGGCTAAAAGCTAAAAATATAATCACTGAATTATTAGATTTCTAGAACCCTCTTAAAAAAAGGCTAGACTTCGTATAAACCCATTAGGCTGAAACAAAAGGCTATTATAGGCCACTGTTGTTGAGATATCATGTTGTAATCCATCGCATTTATGATGCGTTGTCGGCTTGTGTGGCCGGCTCGGCTATGAACTAGTAAGTTTGCTGAGCGAAGCGAGGCAAAATAATAGAGTTGTCAGGCCTAATTCTTGAGATTTACGTAATCTCAGATTCTCATGTATGGCTTCTGATTGATCAAAAATTCAAGGGTAACGTGACTATGGTAGGGCTAATCACGTGATATATATACCTTATGCATCTGGCACGTGACTGTATAGTGTGATTACGTAAGATATACCGTTCTAAAATTAGGCGGCGATTGCGTAGCCACCCTTTAACCAAGCAAATAATCAACCAATTAAATAATTAAATAATTAAACCGCGGCGTAGCCGCTAAGCCGGCTATAGGCTATTTAAGAAAGCAAGTAAGTAAGTAAGCAAGTAAGCAAGTAAGCAAGTAAGTAAGTCACAGCGTAGCTACTAAGCCGGCTGCAGGTCATTTAAGCAAGTAAGTAAGTAAATAAGCAGATAAGCCTACCCTAGGGGTGGGGGTGGGGGGTAGGTTCGAATGCCTAAAGGCTCATATAGAGTATATAACCTAGACTTTGATTCATCTATGCTCAGCAAACTATAACCCGTATGCGTCACTACCCCGAGTGGTCGCTTACAGGTAGCTGGTAACCTTTGAATATTAAACCAGGAAGCGAAATGTACAGACTTCGGTGTAAAGGATATGCCTAGGCGCATGTCTTTTTCGCTCGGCCAAAAGACCATTATGTCAGAGCGAGAGCTCTGACATGCCCAGGACCTGTATATATAATAGCGCACACAAGTTATCTGTGATAAATTCAACGTTACCTAGTGTGACGATCTGAGGACGATCGTACTTGCCAAACGGGGCAGGAGCGGTCACGTCCTTGTACTTGCCAAACGAGGCAGGAACGACTATGCCCTTATACCTTCCTAAGAAGATAAATGAGAATTAAGCGAGATAAACGTAAGGGTATAAGAAGGGAAGAACGTGTACTTAGATAGTTTCTCTTTTTCCTTTTCTTCTTTATACTTAGAATTTGATTGGAATTGTACTCTTTTCTTCTGAATTGAATTAGCTTATAATATAATTCTAAGTACTAACCTAACTTAACCTTTAGACTATATAACTATATAAACAGTTATTACAACTAGTTCTAGCTTAGTCTAACCTTTTAAAATTTTTCCTTTTTTTAATTATAAATATAGCTCCCTCGATAAGAAGCTTAGTAAGCCGCAGAAAGTAATCTCTTAAAGCCCTATATAAAGAGGATCTCGACTAGCTAGACCTAACTACCCTAACTCCTAGTACCTTAACCTTAAACCCTATTATAATAGAAAGTATTAAGTATAATAAGATAATAAACCTTAAAGAAGAAAATTTAATATATAATATACTCTAAGGAACCCTAAAAGAAGAATAGTTTATAACCCTTACTAATTAATATAAGGATACTATAAAAGAAAACTAAAAACTAATTATAGAAATTACTACTCTCTATACTAAGGAAGTAGGGATAATAACCTTAATCTAGAACTTAACTCTTAAATATAATAAGATAATTACCTACCTAAACCTTATACTATAAGAAAGAGACTATTATACCTACTATCTCTTAAATAATAAACCTATAACTTAAGGAACCCCCTTATACTCTAGTATACTAATTATAGGAGCTAGAAAAACTACTAAGATACCTAATATACCTATCCTTAAGGATAGGAAGGAGGTATAATTTAAAACTTAGGAAATAATTATTTAGTAGAAACTTAAGGCTAATACTAACTATTACCCTCTTCCTATCTACTAAAAGATCTATATTTAGAGTTACTATAAAGGAAAGGCCTAACTCTATATTATACTATAAATAAGTATAGACTTAAGTAACCTATACCTTAATACTAAGGATATTATTATATACCTATAAACTATCTTTATAAATCTAAATAGGAAGTTAGAAGCTTATATTAGTTACTATAAGCTAATAATAAAACCCTATAATAACTTTACTAACTTTCTTATAGAATTTATATAGCTTATAGAGAAAGTAGCTATTATTAAAAAGAACTATAAGTATAACCTATATCTAAAACTACCCTACCTCCTATAGTTATAAGTTATATAGGTAGTAAATTAGAACTAGATTAACTTCGATATATTTATCTAGACCTACTAGAGTATAGTATATAAGATTAATTTATAATAAGAAAAGAAGACTATAAACTAAACCTATACTACTATAAGCTCTAGTATATAGAATAGAAGTATATAAGCTACTACTATAACTTATAACCCTTATATTAAGAAAGAACTAAATATAAGCTATACTAGAGGTATAATAACTACTAAAAGAGAAGTACTAATATATAAAGGTAAATACTTTTATTATAAAGAGAAAGGGTATATAACTTATAACTACCTAAAGAAGTAGAATACTACTACTATTACTATAACTAGTACCTATACTCTAAGAATAACTAAACTCGAAGAACTTAAGGGAGATAATATTTATAATCAGGGAAAAGCCCCTACCTAGGGAAAGTCTCTATCTTAGGTAGGAAAGAGGTATTATTATATACCCTTAATCTATAGAAACTCTTAGGAAGCCTAGGAAGTAGTTTAGTTTTTAATATAAACTTAATATATAATAGATATTCCTTTTCGATCGATATACTAGTAGATATTAGAATAGATAGATTAATCTTTATTAATTTAGTATTAGTTATATTACTTAGAAAGAAATTTAGTCTTTATATATATAAACTAAACTAAGAATACCTAGTTAAAGGCTTTAATAGAAAACTTATTAACCTAATTACCTATATTATTATACTTACTCTAAATATTAATAGTAGAATATAATAATAAGTTCTAATATTAGTTATTAACCTAAGGAGGTATAATCTAATCTTAGGAAGAATATAGTTCTCTAAGTATAATATATTACTTAACTATCGTTACTATAGAATAATCTAGCTATAAAAGGAATTACTTTTCGATAAAGTAGCTAGAAAACTTATAATACTAGTACTAATATAGATCCTTAAGAGGATTAAGCCTAGAAATAAAAAGTATTAGGTAGATATAGATTAATAAGATTAGTTCTTTAAGGAATCCTAGAAGAACCCTATAACTTAGAAGCCTTACCTATAAGTATATATCTACTAATATAGATATTAGTAGGTCGAAGAATAATATAAGATAATATATAATCTAAATAATAAGATTCCTTCTATACTACTCTAATAGTATAATAAAGCCTTTAATAAGGTAGAACTAAAGGAAATATATCCCCTAATTGATATAAATATTATTAGATAGGCTAGGTTTAACTAACTATAAGTAAAGATAGAAACTAATAAGGGTATTAAATTATTCTTAACCTCTCTTATAGAAATAGATTATATTATTAATATTAAGTTAATAATAATCTAGGATATAGAAATTAAGGAGATTAAAAGGACTTTCCTAAGAGAATACTATAACTTAGTAGATATATTCTTAAAATAGAAATCTAATAAGTTACCGCTATACTATATAGGGGTAGATTATAATATTATCCTTAAAGTAGAAGTATAACTAGGTTACTACCCTCTCTATAAGTTATCCCTTAATAAGCTAAAAGCTACTAAGCAGTATATTATAGATAACCTTTAGAAAGGATTTATTATACTAAGTTTAGCCCTATATACTTTACCTATCTTAATAGTAAAGAAGCTAGGTAGTAGACTATATTTCTATATAGACTTTAGGCAACTAAACGGTATCTTAAAAAAGGATTATTATCTTCTCCCCTTAATTAATAAGGTATTATAAAGAATAAGTAAAGCTAAGTTCTTTATAAAGCTTAATATTCGTTAAGGTTTCTATAGAATCTATCTAATACCTAGTACTAAAGACCTTACTACCTTCTATATAAGATATAGCTCCTTTAAGTATAAGGTTATACCCTTTAGGTTAACTAATAGACCTACTACTTTCTAATAATTTATAAATAATATATTATAAGAATATATAGATAAATATATAGTAGTATTTATTAATAATATTCTAATCTATAGTAATACCCTTAAAGAGTATAAAGTATATATCTAAGAAGTACTATTATAACTTAGGAAAGTAAGACTTTAAGTAGTACTATAAAAGTATAAATTCTTAGTAACTAAAATAAAGTTCCTAGGCTTTATTATTAGTACTAAAGGTATTACTATTAATCCTAAGAAAGTCTATATAATCTAATATTAGAAAACTCTAATAATAGTAAAGGGGATATAGTCCTTCCTTAGATTCTATAACTTCTATAGATAATTTATCTAAGGATATAGCGCGATCTTAAAACCACTTTATTACCTAACCTAAAGAGATATAGTATACTACTAGTCACTATAGTATAAAAGTATATTCTAGATATTAAAAGAAAGCCTTATTAATATACTAATCCTACAGTATTATAATCTAGTACTATAAACCTAAGTAGAGATAGATATATCTAATAGGGTTTTAGGAATAGTCCTAACTTAGTATTATAAGAGCAATAATTTCTAGTATCTAGTAGCTTTCTTCTTAAAGATAATATAAGCTATAGAGTTAAACTATAAAGTTTAGGATAAGGAATTACTAGCTATAATTTAAGTATTATAAGAGT